GTCTTGAAAGTCAGAACAGCAGGTTGCTCAAAAAAAAATAACATCACACACGCAAACATACAGCAAAACTGACAGGCTTGGTGGTTTGCATCGTTTGCGCGGTGGTGCAGTGCCCTGTGGGGGGCGGCTGGGGGGTTTGGGGGGGGGGGGGGCTGCTTTCCCTCTTCAAGCGGATCATGACTTTGATTCCTGCGGCAGCCAAATCCTCGAGCCTCCCGCTGCTGGAAGGGACATGAACGTGGCGTCTGTAACATCTGCTCTGACTGGGATTTAACAGGAAAGCGCGGCTGTGTGTGTAGGCAGGTGCAGAGTGCGTACCCGCCTACACACACACACACACACACACACACACACGGAGCAACAAACTTGCCCACGTTTTTTGAAGAAAGAAAACGCATGCCCACACACACACACACACACACACACACCTCGCCAAAGAGCTCCTGAAAAGGATCGAGATGGACGGCTGCGACACGTGGACACGCCCGGCCCGTCTCTTTACTTTTTAGCTTTGTAGTCTCTCATCTGCCTCTGCGCCGTCCCACGGGAGGCCAGGGGGGCGGACGGGCACGGCCCGACGTCCCAGCATGCACAGCGCCCGGCAGCAGCTGGAGAAGCCATTGACCAATGCACCAGAACCCGGTTGCTGTCAAACTGCTCAACGGGTCTCTCCTGGATCTCCACGTGGGATCCCACAAAATGAACAATTGCTGCCTTTTTTTCCCTCTTTTCTTTTGTCTTTGTGGTTATAAATAACTTTCCACTTCCCTCTTGATAAAGAGCTCAGAGAGGTTAGTGGGAATGCTTTTTAAGAAAAATCTGTTTGGTGCAGAGGCTGAAAAATCAACATCACTGCTACTGAGCAGAATACATGAATGGATATTAGTTCCATATTTAGTGAGTTTGCTTTAGGGTTGATTTTGAGGGGGAGGGAAATGTAATCATGGTCATTATGTCAAGCCGTTCAGCTGGTTTATGTTATGAGCTGATGATAGTCACCAAACACTCTAATGCATTGTGAGAACACACTTTAAACACTAACAGCCCTCTTAGATTGAATGGTTATTTTTTGCTCCCCTTGTATTTAACACGTAAATCTAGATTCTATAAAAAGACCTTTGCCTGACATGTACAAATACTGGAGCAAACTACCAATTTTGTTTTTTGCAATAGCTGTGAACGAAGAGCCGACATTCGTGGAGTCCGTGTGGAGACGTTATCGGACAGATCTTTATTTTTCTTCTATCTGCTTCGCGTCATCTGCTTAGTCCTGCTCACTGGTGCTTGTGCTGCCACATGACCGAGAATCCTCTGGATCTTGCTGATGGCAAACAATAAAGCACAGGATCCTTTTGTCAACATTAAAATCCAATTTAAGACTGCGGCCACGCAGCCGACAGGCTGTGAGCTGGCACTTATCTGATTTGAGTTAGTTCATATCTGTGAATGTCATACAGTGTTCTAAGGAGGGAAACACAGGTGCTTTGTTTAGCGGGGAGGCATTTGATGAAAAAGCGCTCTGACTTTGTGCTCTCACTAAAGCGTCGGGACACAAGCTGCACAGGCGCTTGCCTGTGCGGAGACATCCGTCTATTCGGGGGGCAACGGACGGTTACGCAGGTAGCGAGTGATCAAGCCATCGATCCGAGTGATACGATCAGAGAGAGGAAAGGGGCCCGACGGTAAACATCAGTGTGTGTCTAACTCAATTGATATTGCACTTTTTGCTCACGAGGGGCCGTGCTTGATAACACAGGGACGGGATAAGGGGAAGAAGACACGAGGAGGGACAAGATCAGCAGACATGGGGAAGATATGGGAGACACGTGATGGAAATACATTGGGAGGCTCTGATCTTAAACTGCGAGGATATTAACATAGTAATGAGCCATTAGGCCGCACGCAGGGACGAGGGAAGCCGCAGAGCTGGAAAAAAGAATCAGACACGATTTGGTGAAAATATCTATTGATAATAGTTCATCATTGCAGGCAGAGGTTGAGAGTGATGCATTACCTGTGGATCGAGGTAACTGATGGAGAGCCCAGGAGCGACTAGAGGGAACGCACGTCCTACATCTATATATAGATCTATACATAGATCTGCACTCACTGCTTCTCCCGTGCTCACGGAGCGACCGGCATCCACGACCACCCGACCGAAGGCATCGCCCACGAGCTCACGCGAAAACTCACCAAAGTTTGCTGGTACTGGAGCGTCCGGTTCTCGGCCTTGTCCTTCACCATTGTCGCAATGTCCCCCTAACGGACACCCAGTCCGAGAGAGAGCCCGCGAGTCCGGACCGTTACTTCACGCGCGGAGGAGGAACCGGCCTCACGCGTAACAGGTTCCTGGTCGCGAGGCGTCCCGCACCATGCAACGCGCCCCGCCGCCGCGATGCGGACGTGTGAGTGCGTGTGTGTGCGCGTGCGTGCGCGCGCGTGTGTGCGCGCGCTGGACGAGAGCGTATCGCCGGCAGCCGCTGCAAAGCTGCGCGCTGCGACCGCGAAACACCGCCTCGCTCCTCCGCTATCTGCACCGTCCACTGTTTCTCTGGAGTTACTGGAAGCATGATGCGATGTGTGTGTGTGTGTGTGTGTGTGTGTGTGTGTGTGTGTGTGTGTGTGTGTGTGTGTGTGTGTGTGTGTGTGTGTGTGTGTGTGTGTGTGTGTGTGTGTGTGCAGATGCCGGTTTAATAGGATAGAAAAGCCCCATTTGGATAGATTAGAATGTGTAGGATACGTTGCTCTTTTTGAGCTTTGAGTCATCGCCGGATGGATTCAAGTGTGATGAGTAATTCACGAGGGTGATTTTATTGTTGGACAGTTTTATGGCTCCGTCGATGTCGTCAATAACGCATGTTTACAACAGGCCTTTGGTAAGTGGATGAAGGATAGTGGCGTTTTCTTTTGCATCACTGTCACATAACGGAATAGAAGTGACTCCGGGGCAATGAGTTTAAAATGTATGGATTTGATTCCAGATAATCTTTCAATCTCATAATTTGAGTAAATACACTGATTTACACACTCCAACAGGCTTTTAAAACCCTGATGACGACAAATCATCTACGTCTTGTTTAAACAGCAGTGAAATGGTCCTGGTGATGATACAATATGAACTGAGCTTCAACAACAATTCAACCAGGTTTTTTTCTTTTTTTTGAAGCACAGGGAACAATATGAGACCAATATGAGGAAGAACATCCCAATGTGAAGGAAATGCAAAGACTACAAGTGGCTCGCATTTCTCGCACAACGCAATGTTGGAATATATGCGTCTTACAGCCCCATGGGAGCATTTTACAGTAACCACTTGTGCTCATGCAACAACAGTTGCTGCAGAGGCCCCTGAACCATAAACCTTCTTTGTAAGTGCACTTTCAGAAGCACTTCTCAGGAGAGATTGTAGTATAGTCATCTTTTTGCCTGCACTTTATTTATTTATATTTTATTTTGTATTATTCTATATTCATCTAGCTTATAGCCTTCTATTTTATACTGCAGATTTGTCCATTGTCTCAATGTCTTACTGCCCAATGTTATGCACCAACTGCAATGTCAAATTCCTTCTATGTAACATACTTTGGCACTAAATGTTCCTGATTCCTTCCTTGCTGAAAGCTTGTTAGATCGCTTCCTTTCCTCAGATGACACATGCATGGATGTACTGTGGGCTTATATCTCTGGGCTTTCACTGGAGGCTTTTCAGAGGTGCTACTCACTGGTGGGGGAATCTATCGTACTGAGAGATGATGTGCCAAAAGAGACTCGCACCTGAAAGATAACCACTGGGTTCACTGTCGCTTTGTCAGGAGCCAAACATCTGTTTGCCAATAAGCCCTCGGTTGTTCTCAGTTCAGAACCTTATCAGGTCCAGAGCAATCGGCTTGCCTCAGCCAGTAGAATTCACTTTCACCTTGTCTCCGTAACGGATGCCTTCAGTGGATGGCAACACATTAAACAATTTGCCTTGTCAAAGGCCATGCGTGCATTGAATGACTCTGACTGCAGATAAAACGGGCACAAGACAGCTGATTGACTGTTGGCAGGGCAACCAGTTCAATGCGCTGTACCACCGGCACCATGCAGGCCTCTATGACCGCAGAGTGATGGGAGGGATTTTACCCCCAAAGCACTGCACTCAACAGCACTCACACTTCACTCCAAATCGCATGCACACCTGTTTCACGCGGCCCCTCAACATGTCCTCACGTCCCCATCCTCCCTTTAAGCCGAGGGTAAAGCGTGTCAGCGACTTGGTTTTGTCGAGAGAGCTGGCAGCCACAGGCAGGCGCAGGGGTACCGTGGCCCCGGCAGCAGAGGAACTGGGTGCCCTGCAGCCCAAAGCACCAGCACACTGACCCACATCTTTCCATCTGCACAGGAACCTTTAGAAAGCCAATTCTTAATGGACGGTTGGTTCCAAAAAGAGGAAAAACGGCATGTAGCCTCTGACAGTGAGAGATATGAGTAGAGCTCAACGAGGACATAAAAGTAAATAAAAGTATGTAGCATTTTGCCCTGATAGGAATGTTGTGTGTGAATGTATTTATAAAGGATTTGTGAGAAATCCGATCAGACTGATTTCAAATCATTCCAGACTATGTCTTTCTTTTCAACATTTCTTAAGATGGACATTATAATTAATCTGAAATAACGGCATTGATGTGTCCATTTTTCACACATCCAGTTAACTGCGATACGTCAGTGTTACAAGGACTCAAGGTCCTTGCGCACCATTACGACGTACAACCACCTGTGCTCCCTTTTGTGTGCCAAGTTTCAGTAATTCCTCTTAGCTTCGGCTGGTAGGAACCACTGAACGCATCGCAATTAACCCCAGAATGACACCAGAAAACCAGCAAATAGACCACATCCCGGTCAGACCTCCAGTTACCGTTTGCCCTTGAGCCAGATGTGGGCAAAGTTCAGGAGACACGCGCGTATTTGACACTTTGGCGGAGACGGTGATGCGTCTTGTCAGGACGCAGCATACTTACGGTTCCCCCGGGGTCTGCTTGCCTCCTCCTTTTATCCTCTCCTCCTCCTCGGGCTACGGATTCAGAACCGTCAGCTGCGTCCCTCCATTGCGCCCCAGCTGGCGGAGACAATGCCCGATATAAAGCGGCACACAGCTACAGGTTGCAGCGCACGCTCGGTCGACGGTGTATGTGATTGGGCAGCGGATGAGTCCCGGGGAATCGCGCTGCGCCCCCGCGAGAGACACCAAAAAACCTCAGTTGATCCCAGAAACTGGAACGATACATCCCCCCACAGCGCTCGCGCCAAAGTTGTCAACACGGCGCGTAATTACCGGTTGTGCGCCTCCAGACCCGCAGCGCACAGCGGGACCGGGAGCGACAAGCGCCAGCCGTTGGAGAGCGGCGGCGGCGGCGGCGGCGGCTGCGGCGGCGTGGGACTGCGGGGCAGAGAAGACAACTCTATGACAAGATGCTACAGTCTCCTCATCGGCTCCAGCTGAGGTGGGAGGGGGTGGGGGGGAGACAGCGGGGTACCGGGTGCCGTGTCCGTGATGCAATGCGGGTGCCGTCGGTGCCGTTTCCCGCAGTTTTCTCTTTGTGTGCGGAAATCCCGCCGCTCCGGTCATTATCTGCGCAGCCGTGGCGCACATTCGTCTCAATTAACGGCGCTCGGGATTTTCAGCAGAGGAGCTTGGAGGGAGAACAAGAAAAGCATGTGTTAAATGTTCATGCCCCCCCCCCCCCCATCTCTCTCTTTATCTGCATCTCCCCCCTCTCCCTCCAAGTATGTGTCTACATGCGCTCTTGGTCTCTAATATTAGAAGACATGCGCCCGTAGGAGAGGGCAGGGTCTCAGTCAATGTCCAGACAGGGGGGGGGGGCTGCAATGGGGTTGAGCAGGTGCATCTGAAATGATGATGGATGGTGCATTCCCCTTATGGTGTCTCTTCTCTGTGTCTTTGACACCTTTTATACCTCCTCAACAGCACCGACATGGCTCGGTGCTGTTGAGGAGGCCTCCAATTGAATTGGAGCGTCGTTCACATCTGCAGCTGAGGCCCCCCCCCCCGAGGCATTACAACCCCACGAATGATTTGTTTGCATCCGGGTAGACACCGCTTGATCTTCTGCTGTGTGAAGGCCATCAAACGAGCTTCGAAAAGGCTGTGACTTGGGTGTGGGTATTATCAAAAATCCTAATGAACTTTTGCCAACCTGAAGAACAGTCTGCCTGGCGGGGACATTAACAACCTTCATGGGATTGAAGGGTGTCCAAAATCCCCAAGGCACTTATCTTCATTACGAACACAGTTCAATCTTCACGAGCCTACACATCTGCTTACACGCCCACAAGTTATATGAGCTGTGAACAGCTCGGTCTGACACTCGCTCAGTGAATTATCTAAAAGCAAAGCTGCTCCCGGTATTTGCCGGAACAAACCTTGAGAAAAAGTAAACAGCCTCCGGAAATAGTGACCGGATTTCGTCTGGCTCGTGAAATGAAGTCTCACAATAATAAATCATTAGCTTTGCATTCAGCGAGCATGCTGTGCGATCAGAACCACAAGGAAAGTCAACTGTGGCCCCATTGGAGTCCCTCTAAAAATCTGTAACATTTTGTTATGCAGCGCAGCAGAGAATTGGAGCGCCGCCTGCTCTCAGATAACACTCGCACTTCCCACTCCTGAATGAGAAAGGTGGCAAATAGAGTGGTGAGAAGACGAAGAGGACAGAGTGGACACGGGGCATTTTCCACATTTCTGAATGGAACAAATGTCGATCCCCAGCAGTCGGCCGAGCAGGCCGGGCTTTAAGCAGTGAGCAACGAGCCTAAAAAGTGCGACGGGTAACAATTAAATGCACTTGAGCGCTTGGGAGCTGGTTTTGCGGCGCTTCAGCGTGTGTTCATCCAGGACTCATCCTGCTCTGGATGCGGCCTCGAAGGTCTGGGCCGCTGAGACCAACCCCGTGGAATAAGGCAGCCAGGAGGGCTGTGAATATTGCGGTTGAGATGCAAAGTTCGCTGGTGACGATATGATTGTCACAGACGTCACCGACCCTCCTGTTGGATAACTGTGGACTCCAGGTTACCGGGAGAAAAGAGGAGAGTTAGTTGCAGGTTGAGGGTGAGAAGATCGTGAAGGTCCTAAGCCGGCCAGGATGCGTCCCGCTTTGCTGCAGAGACCAACATCAACAACTACCTGCTCATTCTCACACACCTGCAGCACTAAAGGTGATAAACAAGTGCAAACAATTGCCCAAGCATGGATTTGTGTGATTAGTTCCCTAGAAAGCCACTTCTAGAAATATCAGAGCTAAAAAGCCAAAGCTAACCAAACATCGCCACGAAAAACTAATCAGTGCGTTGAACATTTACACAAACTGAGTGAAAACGTGTCAATGTGCTTTTCTCTCACTGGTTTGCATCAGATCCAGTTTCCCCTGGGTGTGGAAAGATCCTTCTTCCACATACATGTGTGGCTCTATATGTGACCTGAAAGTTATGTCGCATCACCCCAAGCCTTCGTTCCTTGGTACAAGAGGAAGGTAGCGATGCATTTCCGTTTCGCTTCGAATTCGATCTTCCTGGTTGTGTTTTGTGTTTGGAGCAGCAGTGGGCAGCGGTGACTGAACACAAGCTGATCTCAGGCAAAGGGGAGCGGTTCCTGGTTAAGGGGTCAGATGCTTTTCCCCCTCACATGAGAACACCTGGACGGTTTGAAATAAGGCACCAATGCAATTATAGAGCAATGAAAACCTACCAGAGGACAACAGATTGTTCAGGAAAATCTCCTCACCTTGTTGACTTCATCAAATGTCACTGTTAAAAGGTTGACTTTTCTATAGTGTGATGTGTAGAATCTTACTGTTGGTCATTAGTAAGGCATTTTTAATTGAATGAATCAAGCTGGACAAGTAAAACAACAAGGTTTATGAGCATCACAGACAAATGAATGTATGACAGGAAGGCAGTTTTTTTGGACCATTCTACATTGAATTAATTGAATTGAATCTCAATGCACTTTTTAGGGCTGCAACTAACGATTATTTTGATAATCGATTAATCGGTCGATTACTTCTTCCATTAATCGCCATTAATCAAATCGATAATGAAATTCGTTGCCAACGCTTTTAATAATCAATTTTAAACGATTTTACCGATTCGTTGTTGCAGCCCTAGATAGCATGTTTATTTATTTTTTAAAATGCTGTAGATGTGTATATATGGTTTATTTTTATTCCATATATCTGAGATGTCTACCACCAGATTTTGCATTTAAGACACAATTTATTGATGTGAATGGGTTTTATGAAAAAACAGCATCGCAGAATATATGACACAATAAACGTTTACTTTACTTTATATTTGTATTAATTATTGTATTAGAAATAACTGCATTCATATTGTATGTGTGTATCTATTTGTTTACCGTTGGTGTGCGGTGCACATTTAGCGTGCATCTTTTTTTATTTACCACTTATTTACCAGTGTAATCGGCAGGAATAAATAGCAGCCGGTGGATTAATTAAGGTGAAACGCACTGATTGGACACTTAGTTTTCATTAACGAGCCGGTTGGCAAACCGCAATCAACGGCAGGAGGTGGTGATCCGCGCCGGGTACGTGATCCGCGAGGAACGCGATGGCGACCGGCTGAACTTTCACATCCACATCCAGAACCAGAACCAGAACCGAGGAGCGCGACCTCTGCGAAGCCCGACGCGTCCACACGTTCCGCCGAGAGCTGCTGTTTTACCGTTTTAAACTAAGTCACCGCTAACTCCTCCACCTCCACCACCTCCACCATGTCGGAAAAGACGCCCCTTCTGCACTACCGGCTCACCAGCAGCGACAGTCCGCCCGCCAACGTCGAGTCCACGCACAGCGGCTCCAAGGACAAGAGCGTCCAGAAGCTCGGGGTGGTGTTCGGCGTGGTCGTCCCCACGCTGCTGTCCATGTTCAGCGTCGTTGTGTTTCTGCGGATTGGTGAGTGGAAGGAAAAAAACGTTTTTTCTGGTTGAATTTGATACCAAGTCGGCGGTTTGGTTGGTGATGAGTGCGAAATGAGGTTTACCGAGACCCCTTCTGACGTCTTGGTTTTGGACCAGTTGCCTACTGTCCCAAATCAGCAGCGAATGCCCTAAATATCAGGTTTGAAGGTTACGAGTGTTGCTTCTTCTTGCAGGATTTGTCGTGGGTCAAGCCGGGCTCTACCAGTCCATCGCCATGTTCCTGGTGGCCTACTTCATCATCACGCTGACCGTGCTGTCCATCTGTGCCATCTCCACCAACGGGGCTTTAGACGCCGGAGGGGCCTACTGTATCCTTTACAATGGGGGTCCTTGACCTTTCTGTAACTCTGGGCCCACTACTGGTGCTTAAAACAACCTGAGGACCGTCTTTCAATACGAATGAGAAATAAACCGCCGGTAAATCCGCTGGGCTGTGGATGTGTGTTCTGCGCCTGCCAGCTGTAATGATCGAAATTAATATTCTGCAAGCGCAAACCCGCCGCTGCCTGACGTTGTGAATACAAATTGAATGCATTTTAAGTTATATTTCTTCATCAGACGGTTTGGAGCTTTGGAGCAGATTGTTTGCCGCATCACTCATTTATTTTACTAAAGACTGTTTTGTGTCACAGGGGACAAAACCGATGTTGCAAACTGCTGATGTGTTGTGATTTGTGTTGCTGCTTATTAAGCATCTGCTTTGGTTAAATTACAATATCTTTTGTTGGTTTACATTCAGATATATTGTATTTGTTAGAAAAATGTGTTACATCAGGTGTTGCAGTAGCTGTTTTATGAGACTTAAGCTGTAGTTCGAAAGCATCACTTGAGTGTCTTTGTGGTAAATTAACCGACTAATGATTGAGAAATGTCCCTGCTCGGTATTCCTCATGACTTTCATTATCCACCAAGGTCACCGGGTCCTCCTTGTTAACTCCACACTTTATTTCTCCCACAAACAGCCTTTTATTAAATTTAAAAAACATTTTTTTTTTTTACTTGTAAATCCCTCACTTGGATGCCCAGACATGATCAGCCGGGCATTGGGTCCAGAATTTGGCGGCAGCATCGGGATCATGTTCTTCTTTGCCAACGTGTGCGGAAGTGCTCTCTACGTCTTGGGTTTGGTCGAGGCCATCATGTCCACCTTCGGCGTCCCAGAGGGTGAGGGACACGAGCTCATTGCGTCCAGTTGGGGGTATTAACACGTGGATCAACCCGTTTCTGCTGTCCCCCAGAGGCTGTAGCCGGTCCCCATCAGGTGCTGCCCTCAGGCTACTGGTGGTCTCTCCTGTACGCCACTACCTTGCTACTCCTGTGTTTCGTTGTCTGCTTGGTGAGAATTCAGTGTTTTCATCTTTGCCTGTCCGCCCATCTTTTCTCCTAATGGGGAAAAAAAGCAACCATTTTCTATTTCCATGTTTTGCTAAGCACATTGAAATGAAAATTACTTTTCCCACCTTCAAGCTTGTAGATGGACCATTTTTTCAGTTTGGATACAGATTCCTGCGCTTTTAAAACCGGTGGATACAACTACCCATCAAATATCCTCGTTCAATCAATTGGCTCCATTTAGACATTTCTTTCTTCACCGTAAAACTAAATGAACCGTGGAATGCGTTAATATACATTGAGTGAGCTATTTTAATTGCACTGCACCATTTTAAATAGATTGGACCCATGTGAAGATACTAGTAGTCTAGATTATTTCCTCTGCTTGAATAATGCCTGCTTATCCAAATAGTTGCAGTAAGGTGGAACATTCGTCTTGTGTTACTAAATTGAACTGGCTTGTCATTACAGGTAGGTACCCACATCTATGCGAAAGCCATCTTTATTATCGTCATCATAGTCGCAGCAGTTTTGGCGACCATCTTCATCAACTTCTTCATTGCGAAGCCGATTGTAGTGGTTCTGCCAAATAGTTCTGGTCTCAACAGTACCAGAGTGAGCACCGCCAATTACACTGGCTTCCAGCTGCACACCTTGGAGGGCAACCTACTGCGTGAGTAAGAAGAATAAAAAAAGCCTTTATAATATCTGCTGATATATTTATTGATTAAACAGTGCATAACAAGCTTTACTTAACATGCTGGATATCCCTGTTGGTTTTACTCATCTAGTGTATGAATGAATGAGTGAACAAGCCTTCGCTCTCTTCCAGCCAACTACACAGTGGACTATTCCACTGGTGCCACAATGACATTTACCACAGTGTTTGCTGTCATGTTTAATGGCTGCACTGGGATCATGGCGGGCTCCAACATGTCAGGTACAATTAAATTAATCAACCATTCCAAGGGGTCCTTTTTATTAAATTGTCACTTTAAGAAGGAATGGAATCCAGAGGTTTGTCCCACTTCAGGGGCTGGATCCTCAATGTCCCCGAACCACGACTCCCATGGGGGCGAGTCCCTCAGAGGCCTGGCTAGACAGCCAGTGGTCTCCCTACAGCCAATGTTCTGGGAAGGAAAAGCTACATGGCTTAGTAACATTTCGAGTCTTTTAATAACCAATGCTCCAGAAATCCAGAGTTTGGTGGATCCAGCCCCTGATTTAAGAGCAAGCTCATGTGTACACATTATATGGAAGGCTGAACAATAACATTTTGTCATTTTCAGGCGACTTGAAAAACCCCAGCTATTCCATCCCAAGAGGAACACTTGCAGCTGTTCTCACAACTTTCCTTACGTACAATCTGCTAAGTCTGCTGGCTGCATGGTCCTGTGACCGGTTAGACTCACGCATGCATGCATGCATACACCCACTCTCTCAAACAGCGAGTAGTATTGGCCCAAATAACAAATGTTTCTATTTAATCACCACTACTGCTAGTCACTTATTTATTGAATTAATACATCTTAAAAATATATATTTAAATTTGTTTAGTTCACCTTTTCAGGTATTGGGTAGTTTTACAAACGGTCAATCTGTCATGTAATTGTCTTTTTCTTCCTATCCGTCCATAGTCACCTCCTCCAAAAAGACTACAGTTTCCTGGGAGACATCAACGTTTGGCCGCCACTGGTGACCATTGGGATTTACTCCTCCGCCATGTCTGCTGCCATGAGCAACCTGATAGGAGCCTCCAGGATCCTGTATGCGCTGGCCAAAGACGGCCTGTTTGGTGAGTTCTGGGCCCTGCTGCCCGCTGTCGGCCATTGGTTCGTTACTGTTTCTTTAGGATATTATCAGGGCTAAATAGTTGATCCAGAGTATATGAAAGAATATCGAACTAGTCTTCTAAAAAGCTGGGTCAACGTTTATTAATCAGCCATCTGTTGTGAGAATTTGACACTTTTTCATGACTATTTCATCATGTCGTGTTCTCTAAGTCGAAAGCATAGTTTGACAACAGATGGCTTGCAGTGTTGACTTTCTTTGACCAAGAAGAAAAATCTCATTGTTTGGCTCGATGACAACCTCAGGATGACTCAGTTGTTGATCTGATTTAGTGCCGTGAGCCATGATGGAGCGCCTTTTGGTGATGTTTTCCGTCTCTACAGGCGGTGTGCTGGCTCTGGCCAAGAAAACGTCTTTGAGTGGGAACCCCTGGGCCTCGGTGCTGGCCTCGTGGCTGCTAGTACAGGTAGGCCAGTACACTGTGTGGTGGGGTGGTGACGGGTTCACTTTTTGCATCGCACTCTCCCGATGCACAGTCACTTTACATATTGATCCTTAGTGTGTTAGATTAGTGACCTGATGCACGACTTCGCCCTGTGAAGCCGCACTCCAAATGGATATTGATTTTTGTTTCCAAAACGCATTGACTATTACCCACGAACCCTTTAAACGAAGAAACAAACAACAACAAAAAAACCTAGGTATATATAAATCTAGATGGACATTTACACCGTAATTGTTTTACTTTTATCATTCCAGTTTTTCTTTCTGCTACATATGCGTCCAACAGGAGGTCCGTTTTTAGTATCCAGTTTGTGTAAAAGAAGAAATGCAGTCTGAGTAAGGGTTGTGCTTGGAGGCAGATAAGTTAGAGGCTGATAATCTACTTTTAGAACTACAGATTTGGATCTTCTGGTCCTTCACGAACGAGCCTTTGGTGCAAACCCTTTGGGCTTCATTTGGCTTTAGCTGATTAAGAACATTAGAAGGTCTAAAGGTTTTTCCAGGGAGGTGGCGCGGTACTGTCCTTTTACATTAGGAAGTGTATTCTTAATTTGACTACTCTGCAATTTAACACATCACATTAGCTGAATAACATCAGCCATCTGAAGTCCTGGGCGTGCACAATATAGTTCATTCAAACCAGTTAAGCTGTTTATCAAGGTTTGTTTTGGCATCAAGGAACATCCAGAAGTCTGGAGCTACTTTGTAGTCTCTGTGGAGGTGTAATGTTTGTATACGTTGTTCTCAGACCACTGGTGGTGCTTCCCCTATTTGATCACGTTTTTCCACATTTGAATGACCAATGTTTAGATCGATGTAGCTGCAACCTGACTGGAATTTTAGCAGCACAAGGATCAAATAGTGACAAACCTTTCAACTGAATTTATGTTCTTCCCTTCTTCCACTAGGTGGTGCTGTTTGCTGGTAAATTGAACACCATTGCCAGTATTGTCACCATCTTCTTCCTGCTGGTCTACGCTGCTGTGAACCTCGCCTGCTTGGCTCTCGAATGGGCTTCTGCACCAAACTTCAGGTACAATGCAGGATAGTGGCCTTCTGTGTTGGATTGGATTTGCCCATTTGCTGAAAGTTTATCTGGTTTCATTTACAGTATCTTTGTCTGTGTTTTTATTTTATTTTAGACCGTCATTCCGATGCTTTACGTGGCATACGTGCGCTCTGGGCATTCTTTGTTGCCTGGTCATGATGTTCCTGATAAATGCCATTTATGCATTTGCCAGCATAGCCTTCATGCTGCTGCTGTTGATGCTCATCCACTACCTGGGGCCCATCAGCAACTGGGGGTACATCAGTCAGGCTCTCATCTTCCACCAGGTGTCACAAACAAGCCCTCGACTCTCTGATGCAGCAATGTGATGCAAGTTTCTACACATTACTGCATCATTGCGTCTTTACTCATTCAGGTGCGCAAGTACCTGTTGATGTTGGATGCGCGTAAGGACCATGTGAAGTTCTGGAGGCCCCAGCTGCTGCTGATGGTGGCAAACCCTCGCAGCTGTACAAATCTCATGACTTTCATCAATGACCTGAAGAAGAGTGGCCTTTTAGTACTGGGACATGTGAAGCTGGGTTTGCTGGGTAAGACTTGTCATAGGTATATGAATGTTGTTGTTTTTTTTGCATTGGTAGCTTTAGTTATTTAGCCTTAAATGTTGGTTCCAATGTACATGGAAACGTCTTTACCTGCTCATGCAATGTAAACCCCTTCTCGAGTTATAATCCAGACCAGTAATTCTCTCTCCAAAATATGCCTAGACACACTAATCTTTTGTTCTAACCGGAATTTGCTAATGTCGGAAAATTGCAGCAACCAACCATAGAACGTTCCTTCCTTCACAGCTGACATTTTGTGTGTGGTTCTGTAGATGGGTTGCCTTCCGATCCCCTGCCCAGCTGTTACGACTCGTGGCTTTCTCTCGTGGACCATCTGAACATCAAGGCCTTTGTCAACCTTACCCTGTCGGATTCTGTCAGGCACGGCGTGCAGAACCTGCTTTTTATCACAGGTTTTGGTACGTAAGTTCATATTGTTGCTGAATGATTATATGGATGTTTCCATTGTTCAAGTGTCTGGCTTACAAACTTTACAATTATCTAAAACTCATGTTTCCTGTTTGCATCTAGGCGGAATGAGGCCAAACACCCTCGTCTTGGGATTCTATGATGACTGCACCCCTCAAGACGAGCTGCAGGGTAAAATCCTGCTGTCTACAGGACACGACTTGGATGCCGCTTCTCCAACCGCAGACCCCCGAGAGCAATGGTCTCCCTTCTTCCCTTACGTGCGTTGTGCTGAGGAACTCAAAGACCTTCCGGATCATGAATATGTGTCACTGATTGCTGACGCTGTAAAAATGGGAAAAAATGTGACATTGGCTCGCTACTTCAACCAGTTCAACCGCGTGGAGGTGCTGGAGTCGGGGATGAAGGTTGGGGGCTACAGAGGCATGACTGGACCGTTTGTTGACGTGTGGCCTCTGAATCTGCTTCAACCAGACAGCCGCGGGTACGTCGATACCTGCTCGCTGTTCCTGCTGCAGTTGGCCTGCGTGCTGAAGGAATCCCGCGCCTGGAGCCAGGCAAGACTCCGCCTCTTCCTGTGTGTAGAGTCCGCCCGCAGTCTGAAGGAAAAGGAGGAGGAGGCGAAGAAGCTTCGGGTGATGCTGAAGAAGCTAAGAATTTCCGCTCAGGTGCAGATGGTGGAATGGGACCAGGTGGTGGCGTTGCATTGGCAGAGACGAGAGGGTTTGAATCTGGTCGAGTCGGCGCAGAATGTGGAGAGGAGGGAGAGGCCAGACGAAGAATGCCAGGAGGACGGGTTCCAGGCGTTCCCCAATAACGATGCTCTGCTGACCGACGAGTATATCTGCGCCGTCAACGACCTGATTCGCGGACAGGCCGGCCCTCAGCCTGCTGTGCGCTTCCTGTATCTGCCGCGGCCGCCAGCAGACACCAGCCGGTATCGGGCCTACTTGCACCAGGTGGAAGTGTTGAGTCGAGACCTGGGCCCAACTTTGCTCATTCACGGGGTCACTCCTGTGGTCACTACCGTCCTCTAAAATGTTCTTAATCGTCCACAACTCTGGTGTTTGTGCCACTTGCAATAATGTTTCTGACCCGTCATTTAAGGGGTCACCCACAACATGACATGGGGCCAAACCAGTTTTACACTTGTCGTAGCCGCACTCTGCATTTAAACCGTTAGTCGGCCTTATGTTACAAAGACCGGGGGTCGTGGAGTTCTGTTAAATTGTGAAAATCACAAGTTGTTTTAAGCTGTTTAGTCATCACCTGGAGACGGTGCCACAGGTGATTTACACGTGTTAAAATCACATTATGCACGTGACTGCATTTGGCCACACGGGGAATGCTCTTGAACACTTTTGCAAATGTAAATTGAAACATTAATTAAATTGTCTAACATTACATTGCTTCCATTTTTTTTTTATTTGAAAAGCTGCTGCTCATGAAGAGCAATCTGTTTTTCTTTCACTTATAGATGCGTTTCTCCTATTTAGAGCGTGGCAGATATTTTGAGCCTCTCAAACACTACTAAAGAGTAGTATCCAATGCATAGTGAGTACACGGGTTAACTATTCCCGGAGGCCTGAAGAAAAGAGGCCAACAAGTACATATTCAGACTGACATGTTCTTTTATCTACACAAACATTAAGTACGGTACATATATTAAACCAGGGAATGCATGCAAAGAGTACATTACACCGCTGTTTTAAGCATTTATATACTTTTTACTATTGAAGCTATCATGCTAAACCGGTGAACAGGTTATTTGACAATTACCTTTCATCTCGAGATTCTGGTGCGTGGAAGTATTTCAAATCGCAATTGTTTATTTACGTCTTCTGGCTTCGTGGCGTGAGGACTACCCGAGTGACGCGGTGCAACTTCCATCATAGAGTGTGGCGGCCGATGGCGAGACTGTACCTGCTGATGGAGAGCCGACGCCATCTGCGGCGTATGTCACGTTGATTTAGAGAAATTCATGAGTTTGCGGTGCCGACACCAGCCCACATGTCACGGACGACCTGCATGTGAGAGGGAGTGTGTTCACAGATGGAGGCAGATTGGGCTCCAAGAGCTATAAACGGATGCCACGTTGAGTCGAACAGGAAACATGGGCGTTTCATTGTTGCGAAGACAAACTAGATTGGGGAAATCACCTGTAGAAGCATTCAAATGTCCACCCAGTTAGTCTTGTCAGATTAAGGGCTGTCCGTCTCCTCCACCTTTTAAAGTGGAAAGATGGACAGACTGAGTCACTTCTGATGAGAGAGCAGGAGTGGAAAAGCGTAATAAGCTGTGAATATTAAACCACCCTTGCTTTTGTTTTGAACGAGGGAATAAATTGAATTTACTTTCCCGTTCAAAAATGAAAACAATGGTGTTCATGTTGAAGACGTGAACAAGAGTTCAGTTAGAGGTTTGCGTTTGCTCTTTCTGATCATTGATTTTGAAATGAGTAGTTTGATAAATTCCTGTTCGTGATTAATTTCTGAGGCCTATGGACTTCCTGACAGACGGGTCAACGAAATGGTTTTATTCAGCCACAAGATTTCTATACTTAGTCTCAAATCACTTAAGGAAAAAGCCTTGTATGAATTATATTTGTGATTTTTTTTTTTATGGGCAGCTGAAAGTAAAATATTGCTTAAAAGCGAAAACGATTGGAATATTTTCTCAAAACTTGTCTCGATTTGGAGTTTCTGGCTCCTTGATTGACATCAGCAGGCCTCACACTTCCATTTTCTACAGTTGAATGTATAATCTATCACTTTGTCAAGTTTGGCATTAAAAACCTTGCTAACACAGTCAATAGCCCGTTGGAGCGGCTGCGTTGTGCAGCAGGTCCAACGTTACCTCCGGACGCAGAGACTACGCCATCTGTCGCTTACGTCACATTTGCGGCAGAATTCCACGTCTTTTCATAGTCCTGACACCCGCCCACGTCTCGCTGACGTGCTGCATGTGGGACGGAGCGTGCCCACAGACGCAGGCCGTCTGGGCCCCAAGTGCCACACGGGGAGACCGTGCTCAGAACCTTCTGGACATTCTGGACTTGACACAGATGTGCAGAGCACTTACTACACGAGAGAACGTTTTTTTGTCACAACTGTGTTTCAGTCGATGTTCTATGCATAATGTGGCTTGGCTGTTTATTAGGGAAAACACCGCTAATCTCAAATATGATACACATGAGATGTTTTTCTGGGGAAGGAACATAGTCATGCCATTATGACAGAACCCACTTCATGCTACAAATGTAATGTTTTGTCTGTAGATGTTAACAGGTCACCTATAGAGTGTGTCGGATAATTCATGGACAGATCGACTAAATGAATCTAAACTGTTCAAATGTTAATCTGTGCCTAATGTGGGACCTGTCAGTTTGTTCCTCATTCAGGCTCTGAAAATAGACCTGTGGAGAGACCTGATTCTCCTCACCACTAAAACGTACAATAGAAAGCGTGGCAGCTTGTTGATGCTTCCTCTGAAATCAGTCTCCCACATTTCTACTTGTGACGTAGTTCGAATTGTTGTTGCTTTGGAAATAGCAGCGTTTCATGTGAGAGAGGGAGAAGTGAGTAGAGAGGGAGCTTATGCAGTGGGAGTGTACGCCTCTTCCTCCCACCACAAGCTCAACCTCCATGTGGACGCACTGACTATAAGAAGAGCCCTCATCGGCCTCCTCTCGCTGTGTCGTAGTACTCGGTGTCACAGAAAATATCAAATTCACAGTCATGATCTTCTGGAAAACCAAAAAATGGTTCAAAAATGGAACTGAATGAAATTGCTTTGTCTCTTTTACCAGTTGACTGGTTAAATTGTATTGATTTAAATTCTTAACAGAAATTGCCACACCGCTGGATTATCACTTCATGGGTCATTACCATTCACACGCTGGGCTGCAGAGCACCGAACAGCATGTTCCACGGTTTCACACCGTTAAATCACTTCAATGTGTTCAATTGAACACGATCATATCAGCATTCAGTGCAATACAACTCGCCACGATGATCCTCCTAGCCAGTAGCTGTTGGACACCACCCACTCACACCGGGGATGCCTTTGTTTTTATATCAAGGCCGTGAGAAACGATGACGCTGGTGAGCCGGCTTGCGTCACATTTTGCTTTTCAGGCATCAACCAAGAGAAACACCTGCGCTTCGTCATCGTGTCTCATCGGATTTTCGAGCCCTCATGGTTTTCGGTAATATTATTATTCCGAATCCTGTGACATATCGGGATGTCTGCGTCACTGGGAAATTAAGTTGAGACTAGTTTCAGTTGGCACTCAAAACACCTACATTTGCATCTCAGTCGGAAAACGTCTAAATAAGGTGCTCAATGCTGTGCGTGCCCTTCAGCAGATTGAACATATCAGATGGAAACACCTCCAGTTTATAGCCAAACAACAATGTCACTTTACAGTGTCATAAAACATGGTCAAATCAAACATCTGTCACTCTTCATCATCACTCATCATCTTGCGTATTTCTATATAAGAATTTCATTGTACGGTTACACGTGACAATAAACGTCTTGATCCTTGAATCTTGAATCTTGAATGTGACTGAGGGGGGGGGGTGAAAGCCCGATGTGCTGCACATGTTACACACTTCTCACCTTTCCTCTCGGCTCAGGCGGAATCGGAGCTCGGGGCAACCGGTACCAGTCGCGACGGGCGAGCGCTTCCTGCCACCTGCTGCAGGTGTCTGTTCCTCATGTGGAAACGTTGCGGTACCTATTCCATCGAACCTATTTGCTTTGCTTGTCTGTTTGGGATTTTTTACTCAGTTTGCTGCTCACACACAACTTGCTGGGTGTGTGAGTGTTACATATATCTATCCGTTTGCGCACGCCCACAGATGATGGACAGACCATCTGTTCAGGATGTTGCCCACCTCTCCCAATGTGAGCCGGGCTGCAGGTGCTTCGGAATAGGAAGATGCCACGGTGCCACTTATCATTTGCATCACAGAATTATATTTCACTCAATACTGACAGATGCTCCTCTTAAGTTGTAAGTTTGCTTCTTTGTGAAGAACAGTGTCCGTGTTTATAACTCTTTTACTAAATTAAATATTGACCTTTTAATTCCGATTTTTCTGTAAGTAAAATTGATAAAGCAGATCGCCAAAAAAGGGCACATGCACGGCGTAGTGTTGATCTGACAGTTTAAACATCAGGTATAGATTTCAATATTTAACATTGTCACATTGATTTGACCAATGTGCCTTCTGTAAGTATTCATTTTGTAAGTATGAGAATAAATCCAGATTCCAGGTAAACTGAACAATTTCAACACATTTTGTTCGAGACTCACTGTATCCATTTCCCTGGGTTTGGTTGTGAAAAACAGGACATTAAAAAGCAACAAGACCATTCCATTTAACTTTCTTTTGTCCTCAAAAGGGGCCCTGAGTTTGGGAACCAGTGCACCAGAGGGACAATTGACTGGCTCCTCAGAAAATAAACCAATCCTAAACATTCAGATGAGATAATACTATTGTTATAATTGGACAATATAAAAATGTATTTATGTACGGCAGTACATCATTTGGCATTTATGAATTATACGATAACAAAGTACATAAACTATTCTTATGCAAAAACATCTCTGTGATAACAGCAATGGAAAACCGCAGTGATTTGTGAGAATGACAATAAATGAGATCCCAACCCCGATAGAGACCTTAAAAACGTCCACTGTTATATCACTGTGTTTTATGCTCGGTCAGTGAAGCCGGAGTACGCGAACGGTTGCGCATTTGGCAACAAATAGTTCACCCACATTGGCCGGAAAAAGACACACACACACACACACACACACACACACACACACACACACACACACACACACACACACACACACACACACACACACACACACACACACGCGGCCGTCTGCACCAATGGGCGAAGAGCCGGAGGAGGCGTGGCTCGAAATGAGGTCACCGGCTTACGCTGAAGATCCAGGGCAGAAAAGTGCATCGGGGAGGCTGAATGGGATCGAGCGAGAGCCACAGCGGAGCAGCAGAGCATCCGAGCAGAGACATCGTTTCACGCATCGTCCGCCCTCCGGATCGGTCAAGGATTTTCGTTTTCCCCTCTGCGAGGTTAGTGCGGTGTTATTTACCTGCGTGACATGTGTCATTTTGACGTTTCCATGCGATCGAGCCGTTTTGAAATGCGTCAGATGGCGGTGGCGTAAACCTCCGATGTACTCAGCTTGTATGTGGAAACACACATGTATGTGGAAACTGTGAAACGCGAAGGCGTCTGTGTCAGTGAGGCTCCAGCGATGAATGGATGAGACGCTGCTCACATCTCACGCAAAGAGGCCACTGCCTCCTGGAAGCATCCGTCCATCCATAGTGTATTTTTACCATTACTTCAAGCTGTGCACGGTAGAGGTGGTAAGTGTTTAAAGTCAGCTGCTATAACAACCTATTCAACTTTTTGTGGAAGTAAACTTTTATACATGTGTTCGCTGCATAGTTACAACGCAAGTTTTTAACTGTAACCTCGCTTGAGTTTAAATCAATAATCAGTCAAATACTCTTGACTGTTCAGTTTATTGATAATTCAGTTATCTCAAGTTTCAATGAGGTCGTTTCAACGAGGATGAATGAAGCTCATGCCGTGTTGAATAGAAGGACTGCACTGATGAATTCAATGGCACACGTGTTTGATCTAGAGGCAACTTTGCTTAAAGGATGACAAAGCAATCCAAAAAGAGAAGGCGTGTGTGAAGAACGTGTTGGCAGGAAGGGCTGAAGAGGACTTTTGAGTGTGTATAAATATAAGTATCAGTGATCATTTTAGCGTGAACGACCATTAGGGAGTCCAGCATCATGCAGGAGACCTTCAGCTTTCCCCTGGTGACGGGAGGAGGGAGGACCATGTCAGACTGCCGTGGGAGAGGTCATTGAGACGGAGACTGTTGCCGCTGTGCGGGCTGCACATTTCTGCTTGTGCTTGTGTGATGGCAGCATGAAGCTACTTTTTATTACCTTTTGATACTGATATGATCAAAATCATCGTCTGTTCCTAAAATGCAAAAATTATTGCCTTAAAAGAAGATTAAAATAAGGGCAAGTGAGAAATATGTTTCCAACGAGTCATGATTTATTCCATCCCTTGTAGCCCTGAATGTCTTTTTGATTGGATTGAATTTACTGAAATGGCCCAAGGGCTGTTTTATATGTACCCTTTTGTTAATGTTATGTTTCTCATCTTGGCTTGTTAGCCAACTATTACATTTCAATGTGTGATGTAACGGCTTTCTGGGCCTGTGAGATAACCCAATGTAAAATTAGAATTGCCTCTCCTCCACTTCCATCCCTGCAGCAGCTCAACAGAAATTGATTAAGTTAATGACGGGGGAAAAGTATCCCCAGGTAACTGGGGAGGTGGATACAACATTCACAGGCTATTAAGTTATTTCTCCCTCTTCTGTGTAGGAACACCTGCCAAAACGTCCACAAGTAAAAACGTCTCGGTCAGCGATTTTTATAGGACGTCCAGTATGAACAGTATGTTGGCTCTCAGTGAAATGGTCCATTATTGATGAGTAGACCTCTGAACCTATGATCAGGTTCATTGTGAACAGAAACAGGGGAGGATTAACTCCACAGAGCAAATTACCACGATGCTTCATATTTAAGGAACATTAAAACAATGCTGACAAATCCAATGTTTTAAAATGCGTCAATGATCCCATATTAAAGATAGACGCCATTAAAAGTTCATCGAGGACTTTCGCTCAGACTACTAGATACTTTCCATCTCAACAATTTGAATCTTTGTAATATCTTAACCTCTGTTTTAAAGTCAACAGACCTTTTGCCAGATATGTTTGGCTGATATTCAGTTGGTCTCTGGTGACATTAGATCAATGATGTCTGGAGGTTTAAGTGAACGGTCCTCTGAAAGGGTTGAAGGCACAGATGGAGCAGACCTACTGCTCTCAAAGGCCTCTCCGTCTGTACGAGTTCTCACTGCACACCAGAGACTCCCCCAGGGCTCCTCGGGGGTCCAACTCTGATATCGCACCAGAAAAAAAGACACCTTTTCCAAAAAAAGGATTTTTAAAGCATTGACTTGTCTCGTAAATATCTTTTGAATTTGTTAATGCCAATGATTGAACAGATAGTGTTGTGGGACATTTGGATGGTTTTCATACAAATGATGTATATTTTGCATATTGTCGATCATTTTCAAATGGATAATATGAAGTAGGCTTTGTCTTCCTGTTCTCCACACGGCTTCTGAGCTCAGTTTGGGGAAAATTATTTGGAAGAGGTGATTTGTTTTAGTCTCATTTGTTTTGCCCAACACAAAGTACCGTAATTATTTGTGGCAGCGATTCCACAACTTGTAAAAAACATGCGTAACTTGCAATGCACAACTTAACACTACCACGTATAATCTGCCCCAAACAGATCAATCCGTGACCTCTTTCCTTCTCTGACGACACTCTTGGGGAAAATGGGGTGATAGTGTTTTTTCATCATCCAATTACCACTGACCCAGCACCGACCCCAAAGCACCGACACTCCCCCCGATGTCGGAAGATTCAGACTCCAAGCCCTATCGCTTCGCGGTGCTGGAGGACCAGGATGGAGACTCCCGCCTCTCCACGCCGAGGAGGGCCTCGGCCTGCAGCTCCATGGCACAGCTCCACCGGATGGGCGGCTACAGTCACGGCGGGGCCGACTTGGGCCTCCACTCGGAGGGCAGTGACAGCAGCGGTCAGGACCCTCCCGCCTCACCGCACAAGCACCGCAAGAACGCCCGCTCCCGCTCGCTCCCCGAAGAGGACGTGGAGATGAAGAGCAGTGGGTCGAGCGGGAGCGGAACCGAATCGCACGGCAACGAGAGCCGCGGCGGCAACGAGAGCCACGGCCACGAGTCGGCGGGCAGCTCCGATGGCACCAGCAAAGACTCGGCGCTGCTGGAATCCTCGGAAAGCCACAAGAGGTCAGTGGTGGTGGTTTTGTTTTCCTAAAAGAGGCAGAGGGAGGCTGCCGTTATGAACAATGCTGCTTGTTTTGCGTTGCTCGTCTTTTAACAACTGCCCGTGTTGTGGTGAAACAGCTGATTGTAAAATGTGGTCTGCAGATTCCTCCACATAATCATAAAGCAGATGAATCCACATGTGTTTCCACGCAGTACAAAGCGTTACACATGAGGGAGTTACAGGCGTTGGTGGTGATACAGCGTCCACAGCTCTAAATATGTAGCTGGGCGTCTACCTACTGGGACGATAAAAAAACCATAAATCCAAATCGTATAATAACCGCTCGCAGAATGATCATACAAGTATTGTAGCTGATGAATTGTGCTGAATTAATTTCCCATCCTCTTGCCCTCTCAGCTTACCTTGACACCCATAGGCCGGCGTCTCTTAGGCCGTGTGTTCAGGCCTTCTACAGGAATCTTGCTTGATCATAAATACATTTTACACATTTTAAAATGACCTAACAAAAGAAATAAACTCAGAATTGACCTTATTAGTTAGCTGGAATTGTTTAAGAAGATTCTGTTTTTTTCTAATAAAACAACAATGTATGTTACATCTTAAAATCATATTTTATAGTATTACATATCATGATAATATTACAGCTCCGACCTGCGACCTTTTTATAGATATATTTTATTTATAATGCCGATTCAAATTTGCTGGCCAAACCCCAAAGCCACATGCAGGTGAACGCTGACCTGACATAAAGTGTGAGGTTGTACCCGGGGAGGGGGGGCAATTAGTGCGTAGGGGTGGCACTGATCACCTTCACAACAGCAGTAAAAATAGCGCTGTGGGGTTGCGTGTGTGACTTTTGATTTGATGCATTAGAATCAGTAGATCAGTGTCGCGTCTCTCCCTCTCTGTCAGCGTCTCTCTTTGAATTGTCCTCCTCTTCCCCACAGCTCGACCTCTCACAGTCCGTCGCCCCCCAGCAGCTCCAACGCCTTCAGCCTGCTGAGCTCAGAGCAGGACAACCCTTCAACCAGCGGCTGCAGGTTGGTTCACTGAATGGAAACAGGACAAAGGCCCAATAATTAGAGGCCTGAAACAGGGTCGTCGTTCTCCTTTTTTAACATGTACTCCTCAGGGAATGTCTGACTCGCTGCTGTGCGTGTGCCTGTGATTGTGCGTCTTGCAGCAGTCAGGAGTCGGCCAAAGCCAAGAACCAGAAGGAGATGTTTAAAATTCTGAAAGAGCTGAAGCTCCACCTCCCCTCTGAGAAGAGACACAACAGCAAGTCGTCCACGTTGAACACGCTCAAGTACGCACTGCGCTGCGTCAAACAAGTGGAAGGTAAAGTGCAGTCGCCTGTTCCTGTTTGTGGCTCCTCTGCTTTGTGCCCCACTGCACGGCTCTGCACATTCAGGAGAGGAACAGTTCTTTTCCTTTGGAATTCAGGCAGCTAAATGAGATCAAAGAATAAGCCAAGACGTGACTTTGTGTAGGAGGGAACATAGTGTATGCAGGTCCACGGGTAATGGACTGTAAAGGCGTGGTTCTGACCTGACTTACCAAAGGTCCAGTTGTAAAGAATATTTAGCATTTTAGAGTAGCAGGGAGACTTTTGTAATCATTCTGAATTTTCTTTTTGTTGGTCGCTTTGAACAAGATCAAAATATCTGTTTCCACGTACCATCTATGCTGTATTACGTATTGTGCTGTGATCTTGTGACTTTATTTAAATCCCTGTCTGTGTGTTGCAGCCAATGAGGAATATTACCAGCTGCTGATGACCAACGACAGTCAACCCTCAGGCCTGGATGCATCCTCTTACACGATCGAGGAGATAGACAGCATTACTTCTGAATACACCCTCAAAAACAACGTGAGTCTCTGAAGTACCTTCAATCTAAAACAAAAATGTCTATGTTTTGCCGCATGCGCTGGTGTAAAGACTGTGATTGATTGATTGATTTGAGCCATCTGGATTTCCTCAACAGGACATTTTCGCAGTAGCGGTTTCTCTCATCACTGGACGGATAGTGTACATTTCCGATCAGGCTGCCTCCATCCTCAACTGCAAAAGAGAAGTGTTCAAGAACAGCAAGTTTGTGGAGTTCTTGACGCCGCAGGACGTTAGCGTGTTCTACAGCTTCACAACGCCGTACCGGCTGCCCTCCTGGAGCATGTGCACTGGAGCAGGTAAATGCACGGCGCCATGGTGACTCTCTGCTGACGCAGTGCAACAAAAAAAGCTCTAGATAGTACACAAAAATCCCTGAATGGTCGGCTGCTTGGTGGCGAGCGCAGGCTGCCATCGACGTGGTGTGTTGCATTGATCCAAACTTGTTATTAATTTATAAAACTGGTGCTGCTTGCCGCTTTTTAACCAAGCAGAATAAAACAGTCATTTAAGTGCAGAGCAACGCTCCTCTGCGCTGTTCTTTGATGGAATAAATCTTAATCAAGACCCCTATTAGCATTCGGCTGGAACATGTTGCTTTTGAATTAAAACATTTATTTGACCCTTTCAGAGTCATCGCCGCCTGACTGCATGCAGGAGAAGTCCTTCTTCTGCCGCATCAGGTGGGTGCGTGTTGGTTCAAACACAGTGTCGGGCCATCTGCTGCTCGGACCCGTGTGTAGATTTCATTCATACTTTTCTTCCACGCTAGATGTTTTTTAAATAGTTAGTGACATCATGCGCTTGTGGTTTTTCCTGGCCAGTGTGATGACACACACACACACACACACACACACACACACACACACCTTGCTGCACTCGTTAGGACTTTCCATTCACACCTTTCCTCAAGCCCCGCCTTCAATCTATTCATCATTCTGCTGAAAAGATTAAACGAATAGTAATCTTTAGATTTTAGGACTCAGCAATAATAGAATCAACACATAGGTAATGGATGGAAGCCGAACACTGGACCGTTGTGAACCTGGACCTTCTTTTGAACAAACATATCTTTGTAAAGACCTGAGCACTGACCAGGGCTATTGAACGGGGGAAGAGAAATAATTCTGGATTCAGTGTTTTACAACTTTTAGGACCAACAGCATGTATCACCTGTAGACTTGGGGTCATGTTCTAATGCACCAAAAAGGAGGCAGTAACATCTGAGGGGCAAAGGCCCGTCCGTAGCTGCTCACAGTTTTCATTTATATTAATCTTTCCTTCTCATTCATGTTCAGCGGTGGTAAGGAGAGCGAGGGCGACCTGCAGTATTATCCATTCCGCATGACACCGTACCGGATGAAGGTCCAGGACACAGTGCACACGGAAGACCAGTTCTGCTGCCTCCTGCTGGCTGAGAGAGTTCACTCTGGTTATGATGGTGAGAGAAAAACTCATGTTTGTTTCTTTGTTTGTCTTTAAACTGCGTACGTTTTTTTTCTCCCAATTTGTCCCAATTCAATTTGAGATTGAGGGGAAATCATTTCTTTTTCTTTAAGCGCCCAGAATTCCAACAGACAAACGCATCTTCACCACCACACACACTCCGAGTTGTCTTTTTCAGGACGTAGATGAGAGGTACGTTTTTTTTTTACTGTACATATTTAAATGTTCTGAGCATTTAAGCAGAAAACACCCAGCTGTCAGAGGATAAGATCATTTAAGCAATTGCTTGCCAACTAACAGATGTTTTGTTGGTATCAGGGCGGTTCCTCTCCTTGGATACCTTCCCCAGGACCTGATCGGCACACCGATCCTCCTCCACCTTCATCCCAGTGACCGACCGATTATGTTGGCCCATTCACAGAAAGAGTGAGTGTGCAGATTCCAATAGATTCCAGAATTTCCAGTGTCTGCACGAGGATTTTTTCCCTCCACCGTGGGCTCGGCTCTGATATTTCGACTTCTTCTGCAGTTCTTCAATTTGCAGGACAACCATTTGATCACTCGTCCATCCGGTTCTGTGCACGAAATGGAGAATACATCGTTCTTGACACCAGCTGGTCCAGTTTTGTCAACCCCTGGAGTCGCAAAGTCTCCTTTGTCATCGGAAGACACAAAGTGCGCATGTGAGTGCTCCTCGATAAGCCGCTCTGTGAATTTCGCCATGTCTTGTGGAAACCAGGGGCTGTTGATCTCGAACGTCGGATGTGCTTCTCTGTTCACCAGGGGTCCTGTGAATGAAGACGTTTTTGTCGGCGCGGCGTCAACTGTCCGTGAGATGAAGACCATGGAGTCCGACATCCAGGAGATTACTGAGCAGATCCATCGGCTCCTACTACAGGTGAGATGGGATGCAGACGGACAGATATCAAGGACACATAGTATTCATTTTAGAAGAAGAGGTTGTTTACTTAAACATTAATAAGACATGTAAATGATAATAAATGCATCTGTGGAATGAGAGCAGCATATTATTTAAAAAACGTAGGGTGAAAATTATAAAAGCAAGTTCAACTGTCTTACCTCTCTACGTCTGTGATTAGCCGATCCATAACAGTGGCTCCAGTGGTTACGGTAGTCTGAACAGAAATGATCTCGTGAGCATGAGCTCCTCTGGCGAGAGCCTTAACAGCGGCGGCGCCAGCAAAGTCCGACCAGAGGAGGAGGAAGCGAGCGGCAAAGCCAGACCGGTGAGTAAAGCCAAAGTGTCAGTGCAAACGGATGCAACGCACATGTCATGCACACATAATTGAAATCTGAATCTTGTGTCCATTTCACAGCGAACGTTTCAAGAAATCTGCCAAGGAGTACATCTTCAGAAGAGCCAAGAGCATCAAACAACCAAACATGACTTCAAGAAAAGCATTGGCAGTAAGTCCAGCTGACTGCTACCTGCATATTTAATTGTAAACTGTTGAAAAAGAGGGAAAATGTCCCATCTGCTGTGAAACTGACCACATCCTGGAGTGGCCCCTAACTCCTCACCCTTCTCCAGTAGAGTCTGCACAGAAAAGCTCAGCGGTGGTGCGGTCCAAAGACTCAGCGGCTCCACTCAACTGGAAGGAGCCTGGGGCCCACATGGAGGACAGCAGGTCCTCCTCCAATGGGATGGACTTCAACAATCAGACCGTCTACTCCTACCAGCAGATCAGCTGCCTGGACAGTGTCGTCAGGTACACGGATAACAGCGTGATTGTGAACAATGGTAGCCCTGATCCTGCGTAGGATGCTTCTTTGTCCACCTTGTGACGCAAAATAAATCTCCCATAGAAAACATGATATGATACATGACATTGTAGCCAGTGTTTTGCTGTGATGTCACCTTTTCTTGCAGATAACTCATTAATTATAATGGATGATGTGTTCTCATGATTGTCACAGGTACTTAGAGAGCTTTAATGTTCCCATCACAATGAAGCGGAAGTGCCAGTCTTCCTCCAACACCACGTCCTCTAACTCGGATGAAGACAAACAGAAAGGTCCTCACAGAACGCAGGTGCCTGAAGGTATGTGTCCACACCACCAAGAAACGACCTACTGTCATCTTATCATACAGAGCTACGGCTTTGCCTTTAAACTTCTCTCTCAGATTATTGCCAATTGCCAGTTCCTTGTCAGTACCTCTTGTTCTCTGGTCTCTTTGGCAGAACCAGCCTTGTTGAAGGATCAGTCTGTTCTCTCCGCTTTGGACGATCGAGTCAAAAAATCCAGTGACGCGGCCACAGCAGTTGTGGGCACTTCGCTTCCCCTACCTGTACCTAACAAACCAGAAAGCGTGGTGTCCATAACCAGCCAGTGTAGCTACAGTAGCACCATAGTGCATGTTGGGGACAAGAAACCTCTACCAGAGTCAGGTACAGTGCGGTAAAAAAGATATTCGCTACCTGGCTTCTTCTATTCTTGCATATTTATCATACAAAGATATCAGATCCAACATTCTCTAATTGTTTAATTAACAGAAGAAAAACAGATCAGCTATTGGAAAAGGGATTGGCCACGTAAAAGACAATTTGCTGTATTAAGTGTGACTTTCTGGGTAAAAATGGGTAACCCTAACCCTAACCCTAACACAGCTAAAGAAAGACGATCTGAAATTACCCAGTGTGACAAATATGCAGACACAGAAAAAATCATGACGGTGTAAATGTTTTTTCACAGCACTGTAAATCAAACTTTGTGTCTTTCTATGCGTATGTGTGTGTTTTCATTGGATGCTTTGCCGCTTGTATCTCAAACACAGAAAAAGTAAACTTCTTCCACTATGTCAAACTTTTAGTTTCACCCACAAAGCGTTTGCAAGGTTATTGGATCTTGTCCAGAATAATAACATTTGTGGGGACAAGATTATTCTTTTAAATGGAATCCTTAAACTGTCCAACTGTTCCATAGATCAGTGGCTATCCTACAAATCAGGATTTAAAAAAGGGAAAGTAACACTAGCCTAGAGCTGTGTCTCAATGTTAGTATGGAGCGGAGGTCGTATCAACTGACCACACCAACATTTGAGCAATCTGTACAGATTGTTGTCAATTAAACACAAATATAAACTTGTAACCAATGAATGAGCCGGCGTAAAGGCCAAACAGTCTACCCTGTGAAGGAAGTATGTAAGTGAATATTATCTGTGGCCCTGGGATGACGGTTCCCAGGTTGTTTTTTTTCATAGGTCCCTGTTAATGCCACTAGAATGCTTGATCAACACCGCTGCTGTTGTCGTCATCGTCACTACAAATGCTGAACACTTGTGTTTCCTCACATTCCATTGCTTTAACGTCCTTCTCCGCTGTCACCCTCTGACATACAGAGATCATAGAGGATGTCCAAGGAACGGGGGAGCCAGTAGAATCCAGCCAGAACTCCAGAGCTCCTCTTTCTGTTCTTTCACCTCCTAGTCAGGAGAGGGAGTCCTACAAGAAATTGGGGTTGACCAAGCAGGTTTTGGCAGCTCACACGCAGAAGGAGGAGCAGACCTTTCTGTATCGCGTCAGAGAGCTTCGAGGACTCACGGCCCTCAAAGAAAACTGCTCGCAGTACCTGGAGCGTCAGAAAGAACAGATCGCCAGCGATGGTACCTACGACCACCCCACTTACATAAATGACGTCTTGTGTGTTCTGTTTGTAGGTTTCTAGCTGTGATAAAAATGAAATAAACCCCAAGTTGTTGTCTTTTTTCATCCTCTCCAACCTCTAGCTGTACATGCTGCTCAAGCCTCCAAGATTGTAGAGCCCATGGCGCGGCGAGGCACCCGGAATAGGAGGACCAAGTCGAAGCGAGCGAAGCAGATGGAGTCCTCAGATAGCACGGTGTCCCATCGCAGACAGCACGTGCGCCCTCGCCTTCCAAACCACGGCCTTAACCCGACCTCTTGGTCCCGCTCTGACGCCTCACAGTCGACCTTTCCCATGGCCTACCCCCCGGTAATGCCAGGCTTCCCCCTACAGGTTTACCCCAGAGCCGGTTCCACAGCTCCCCGCTCAGGCACCACTCAACGGGTCTTTGGGGATAGTCGGGCCACCCAGGCCCCTCCCTGTGCCCCACCCATTCACCCTGCTCCCTACCCCACCCCGATCGTGGCCCCCATTATGGCTCTAATGTTGCCCCTGCCCTTCCCCCCGATGGCCCCTGGACTGCCTCCTCCACAGCCAGTGTACCACGCGGTGCCTGGTGGCTTCCCCACCCAGTTGCAACCGTTTGGTCAGGCTGCGTTTCCAGCGCATGGACCCTTCACGTCTCCGCCTCCCTTCGCTGTTCAGAACCAGTTCAGCCCACAGAACCACTTCGCCCCGCAGGCAGACTACCCGAACGCATCGTTCCACTTCCCCCCGTACTCGGAAACCTCGAAGGCCCCCATGATGGAGGGCCAGTCTCGCGCCTCTACGCCCCAGTCGGGAAGAGGGGGAGGCCCGGCATCGCCGCCGCTCTTCCAGTCCCGCTGCAGCTCACCCCTCAACCTGCTGGAGCTGGAGCTGTCGGTGGACCGCCAGGACATCACGGTGGTCTCCTACGGAGGACAAGGGAGTAACGCTGCTGAAAGAGAGAAGGGAGCGAACGGCAAGCAAGCCATGGAGACGGAGCAGGTCAGCACGGACACAAACCTCGTTGTTTTTGCTGTTATGTTGCTATGCCGTGCCCAGGGTGTTAACACACAACGTTATTGTCCCTTGCGCCCTTTAGCCGTCTGTCAGTCTCCTCGCTCCTCCCGGACCCCTGTATTGCGAGGGCTCCCCCCGTGTCTGTGAGCGTTTGTCTTGGGACAAAGTGTGCTCTAGGCTCAGGGCTTGCAGCAAAGAGGTAGGCAAGTAATCAGATAAACCGCCACATTTCTCCGAACCCATTCCTCTCTAATATAACTGTAACAGTTTCTCTGTTTTCCTTTCTAATGACTTGTGGTTTAGAATTTTTTTTTATCTTGTAGTTTTCTTATAGGTACCTTTTGCCAAGAGTGACATTGATTCTAACAATGATTGTTATCGACCTCTGTTTCTAACTATGCTCAGCCTCATTGTGTAGCTATGATGATCACAGGGTATTGTCTAATAAGTCCCACACTCACTGCAGAGATAAAAAATGCTAAAGTGGGATCTAACGCAGAGAATGATGAATAATGCTGCCTGTATCTTAAAGAGATGGAGAAAGTTCTCCTGTTTGTGGGCCCAAAGTCGAGCTCCTCTTCAATAGTATCGCTTTGATGTTTTCATTTTCTCAGGCAAGTTCACGCGGCGACGGGAACAACAGTGACGCAAACTCTTTGTCCAGCGACATGTTGGACATTATTCTCCACGAGGACTCCTGCTCAGGCACTGGCTCGCTCACCTCGGGGTCCATTGGCTCAGGGTCCAACGGCTGCGGAACTTCAGCCAGCGGGACGTCTCAAAGCAGGACGTCAGCCAGTGGGACTTCCGGCAGTGGAACAGGTGTGGACCTAAGTTTCCATCTCATAGATGTGATGGGATACATTCTCGTGCATGAATGGTGAAAAACTGAATACAAGTAGCAGAGAGGAGAGAAAAAAACGTTTTTGAGTGTATACGTTTTAAAAGTATCATTCGGGTGTTTCAGGGAGCAGTAAATACTTCGGCAGCGTGGACTCCTCCCAGAACAGCAAGAAGGTCAATGGTCACTTGAGCGGCAGTGAGGAAAGGCCGGTGGAGATGGACCAGAGAGAACACCTACCACTGCAGGACCCCGTGTGGATGCTCACTGCCAACACAGATGACAAAGTCATGATGACCTATGAGTTGCCTTTGCGGTGAGTAGGGTGGGGCGTAGCCTGGGAGGAGTGGGATACTTGCCCTGGGGGGGGGGACTGGTGTTTGATAGATATCAAACTTATCTTATCTTTGTTATGGATGACAGGTGAGCCGTGGACATTGTTTGCGTTTACAAAAATACCACAACTTGTGAGAAGAAAGGTGAAAAAGAACTTGATCCAGCTCTTTTCCTCACAAGTTCCTGTCACAATCCTTCTCAGATGTATTCATATCTTGCGCTCTAATAAGGTCAGATTTACTCCTCATAGGACAAAGGAGCTCATGCATCTCTTGGGGTTTTGTTCTTTACGGTAAACGTCCAAAGTAAAAAAGAGAAGGAAGAGTGAGTCCTGCACCCGGTCAGATTAGAGACAGACAGCTGGATATGGTGCTGTGATCGATGCTGTCTTTGAACGCAAAGGTTTCTCAGGAACTGGAAAACAAGTGGCCGTTCAGTCACTAGATGGATGCAACTCCTTGTTCACCTGTTAATCCATTGCTATTGACTTTCAGTAACATTGCCTCATTTGTGAAAGACGGCGCATCTTAAATAGAAACAAAGATGTGGAAGGAAAAGCAACATTTGTTGCAGATACAGTTTTTGACCACTAGACAGCACCCTTAGGTTTATACAGTCAGAAGGTAAGAGCTGCCCAACAGTTGGTGGCCACGAATGTAGATGCGTCACTAAAGCTTTCAGTAACTTTGATAGCTCAAGATTATTCCAACTCTCTTATTTTCAATACTTTACGAAGCCTTGCCCTATACGTCTGTTGAGAAGAGTATTTAACGTGGCTGTGTTGGCTGTACCTGCAGTGACATGCAGAGAGTGCTCAGAGAAGACCAAGAGCAGTTGAGGCTCCTGCAGAAGAATCAGCCACGCTTTTCTGAGGAGCAGCAGAAGGAGCTGGTGGCGGTCCACCCCTGGATTAAGAAGGGAGGTCTGCCTAAGGCCATAGACATCAAGGTACACATTCAATTTAGTTCATTCAATTTCATTTTAGTTTGGCCTTCAATTGTAAAAATGTCAAAAATGAGGGCTTTAGTCTCGATGTCTTTTCACTTTTGGTTTGTTGGCAGTTTTTTAGATACATTAGTTTATATCAACTGGTCAAAGTAATATCAACATGTGGTCTCTTATGGAACAAGTATATTTCTAAGTACATGACTTTTGTTTATGCATTATGCATTTTTTTTGTTGTGCATTGAGATGTTTCTTGAAGAACAAGCATAAACAGTCAAAAGTACAACCTCATATCTCTCTCACCGTTTCTCAAGCGCAAACATTTGTCCGCGTTGCATCTCACCTTCTCATTCCGTCTGTGCCGCTCAGGCGTGCTTCTGTTGCGATGGCGCCTCGAGGGAGGCGACGCCGGCGGGGGATCGGCCGGACCTGGACATCGGTGATACAGAGACGGGGGAGGTGGGCTGCCAGCAGAGGCCCAGAGAGGAACCTTCCAACGCACTCTCGGAGACAACCAGATAGACATAAAGTGCCGCGTATTTTTTACTGTGATCTCTCACCTTTCAGCCTGTCGTCCTGTACAACTTTGAAGAAGGACCTATTTTTACACAAAGCACCACACGGGCCCCTTTTCTCTTGATTAATGTCTCTGCCATGCTGTTTGGATGTGAAACAAATACCCGTGAATAATACGAGTGCGGGACTGTATGACTACGCATGTGCATGTGTTTGTTTCTGTGTAGCACCTAACTAAGGGAAGCATATGCAGTGATCAGGAGAGGCTGAGCCCAGTAGGAGGAACACATAATGTGCCCTTACACCAGGCAGAACGTTGGAGGTCACATGCCAGGAAGTGTCTCTGTGATGCTCTAACTGCTGCAGTTCATGAGGAATTCAGATGCCATACGTCAGCATGTGGCTATGACAGGTGGAGTTGTGTTTCAGTCACTCCTGTAATACATCAAGGCATCAAGCAACAAATTGACACACAAGTGCACTTTGTGGGACGCACTGGAAAAGGAGGAGGGGTGTGGAGGGAGGGGGCATATGTGAGGCTCTTTTACATCAGTATTTGCCCAAATGACTTGCCAATGTTGCATTTAGTGAAAGGAAAGTGCTAAACACAGACTTGCTCCTGTGTGGAGCGGAGAGCCTGGACTCACCGCCAATGGCTGGAACTTTCTGTAACATTCATCCCCAGTAAACAATCTGAGATTCCACACTAAAGCAAAGGTAGGGATGAAGAAAAAGCACTGCTACTGATGCAAAAAGTAGAATATTTCCCACTGAGATGAAATGAAGTGGAGGTGAACAATTTGCATGTAAGTACACATGCTTAGTTAGGATGGAGGGGACTGAGGCTCGGACAATGCAGTGAGCGACATCTACCAAGTTTTTATTTCTAATGCATATTTCTGTGCAGCGTTTGTTTCAGTATCAGGAGGGAATGTAAAGAAATGGTTTATCTAATGCCTTTCAATGCATGCGTGATTGTTTGCAACCGCCTTTGATTCTGAACATATTTCTATTTTTTACATTTACAATTTTTTCTGTACAAAGAGAAGGTTTTTTTTTTTTATTTATATGTGGAAAATATATCTTCAAGGAAGGACCAATATTGTTCATATTTAACGTAAATCTATCTTTTTTTCAATGGGATCGCTGGGACAAATCCCACTGTGGACTGGAAACACTGGAGAGCTTTGAGTCCACAGTTTCTAAAGTGCGCCACATGAGACTCATAAATATGTAAAGAGCCTTCTGAGCATCCTGTGGAAGTGTCTGAAGCTCATTACCGTGTTGTGTGAGGTTTAGGGTTATTGCGCCGGCGTAAAGCAGCTGGGCCAGATGTCAGGTGACCGCGTGGAGACTGAGAGCTGTCCTTCTCTTTGAAGCGCAGGTGACGTCATTGGAGACGGAACGTGGAACCGACAACAACGCGTTCGGTTCTTCTTGTGTTTGACCGGCGGGCTTGTTATGTTTTCTCTAAATAAAATGTCAAATCTACAGCGAGGTTTGTTGTGTGCGTTGGTGAGGAGATGCGGTTGACACCGTGATATGACAGCAGGGGATGGACTTCGTTTAACGACGTTGTCTGTTTGCAGATCGATACTTAACAAATTATTTACCTGTGAACTGAATGAAAATGGAGCTTTCAAAAAGTAAAAAACAATATAAAACAAAAAGACTGCTTCTTGTCCATTATGAAGTCGTGACTTCCCACCGGAGTCTCTGTCTGTCCACTGAGACCACTGAGACAACAGCGGGGACGTGAGCTGATGCAGACGCCGGGGTCCTGGGATCAAAGCGGGACCATCTCCCCTCCCTCTGCTCTTCACACCCGGACCGAATTAACAAACTGCCCTCCTGCGGGGGTCATTTGCACCTCTGGAGATCCGCAAATCCGGTTTGGTTCACGCAAAGACGGACCGTCGTCGTCGTGTTGGCGCAGTACTTCCTCAGTGTGCTTATTAATAATCCAGAATGTCCCCATTAAAAGAGGACATTAGTCATTTATGATCTTATGGCATTACGTGTTATTATTGCTGGTGCATTTCATTCACGCAGCATTGTGTTGCACGGCTGCTTATAGTTTAATATCTTATTTGCAATTAATGACTTATTGCTGTCCAATAAATGAAAAATCACTATTTCACCTTCAACTGTGGTGGAGTGTGAGGGTACAGAAGCATTAAATACACGCACAATGTAGCAGTATAGCGATGCTCTCACACTGTATTAATCTTTTTTTCTTGTCATTCTACCAAAGCCAGCTCAGTATGCGCATGACGTGTGAGAGATGACGCTTGGAGCCATCTTACTAGAAATGTAAAATATATCGAGAGTGGCTTCAGGAATGCTTCTTTTCTTATTCATTTGTAGTTGCAGCAGCTGACGAGGAGGTCGCGTCTGAGCGGAGACACAGGCTTTCAAAGAGCACAGAAATGGGGCTACAGTTAAGGGAGGGTGAATACAGGGTTTGACAGAACAGTATCAGTGATCGTGTACGTTTCCAAAGTCCTGTATTAACTGTGTGACATTACACTTGATTGGGGAACTGATAAGCTCAGTGGTGGCTTTGCCATAGCCAGTATCCCTGTGCCGCGACTGGTACGTTATTTCTTACTGTGTCATTCTAAATGGAACATCAAAAAAGCTGAAGTCAAGTGGAGTTATAAAACCCATTTGTCAGCTCCTCGACTAGGCCTATATAAGGAGTGAGTGAATTACTCATTTCACACCTCACAAATGCCTACGATGTGCTAAGGGATCTCAGAGAGCGGGAGGGCTCTGAAATGGCCCACAAGTGCAGAGTAATAACTAACATCTTGAAACCAGCTGCGGGTGGGTGTAAAGTGGGATCCTTGTGTGTGAAATGCAGAAGAAGGACAAGTACAATTAAAATGCCAAAAATACATTTATTAAAAAGTTTTAACTTAGGCAAACGGGATGAGGTAGCCTACTAAAAGTCATTGGACACATATAAATATGAAAGTTAAAGACATTCTAAATGAAGAATAATTTACACACACGACTAGCAATGCATTGCGAAGGGCGACAGCTTTCTTTTGTACAGCCTATTCATATTCAACAAGTAAATATTTACATATGCATTCACCCCTTCGCTGAAGGCAGGCCCATGTAAAGGCCAATACACTTCCAAATGAAGACCCTACAAGTCTTTGACTTCTGAAGGACAGATTTCATTACATACTTTATTAAATACATTGGAGCCTTATTGTAGTTCTGCAGCTAATTACACTAAGAGCTTCTCAGATGCCTCAACGATCAGCAGTGTTGTTGTCATGGACCGAGGCCTACCCCGCAAAACATCCTAACGCCACGCAACAATTCATCTAGTCTAGTTTAAAACGTGCTAATTCTCCTGTTGACGTGATCTACCACGGCCTCCACATTGACTTGGAGTGAGCCAGCGAAGGCAAACTCAACGCATCGTGGCCGTCGGCCTCCTCCTCTGAAGAAACGTGACTCTGCTCCGAGTACGTCTCATCCAGGTCGGAGCAGAGGTCATCGGTGGAGGTGGAGGTGGAGGTGGTGGAGGGGGCCGGGGACACTAGGGTCGCGTACATGCTCTCGGACACGGACCAAGCGCTGTTATTTCCGGGGGGATCTTCCGCCGTGTCCGGCAGCAGCGCCCGCAGGCTGTCTTCGTCGTTCAGGGGCATGCTTTCGAGGAGGTGGTTCAACAGCTCGGCGGCCACCGTCGGTTCCATCTCCGGGCAGCTCGACACAAACGTGTGCACGTCGTGCATGCACTGGATGTAGCCCGCGGCGAAGCGCTCGCACGCCTCCCGGCTCGCGGCGTCCACTTCTGCGAAAAGACGACGAGCGCAACGGCCGTTAGCTCAGGGGTTAGCCGCGTTAGCCGCGCTGAGCTGCCGGCGGACGGTTACAACCGCCGGCCCGCTGATTGGCTGAGCCGCGGCCGGCGATGCACGCGCGCACCTTCGGTCGCAGCCGTTAATCAGGAGGTTAATGCGCATGGCCGCCAAAGAATGAACGGCGGAACGATGCCATGTACATTAAGTTTGTTTTAATGTGTGCCCAAAAGGGGGAAATACACAACGGGCAGTTGTTTCATGGCGTACTCTCGAGTAAACACGGACACTGAATGAATACCTTGAGCCCGGTTTAGCAGGCAGCCCTCCACACGTTTCACTGTCATCTCCAGCACTTCGGCATTCTCCATCTTTGATTGCGACTGCAGCGGGTGAAAGAAAGCGTAAGTAACGAGCTCCGGCGACACAAGCTGGGCTAAACTTCTGTTTGAGGAGCAACACAAAGTCACGCAAAGCGTTGCCCTGAAATACCTGCACAGTATCCCGACTTACGTCTGCATCCGCCATGAGAACTCTGAGTTCTTGTAAACTTTCATTGATGCGAGCCCTTCTTTTCTTCTCCACCAGCGGTTTCCTCATCTGCCAAAACAGTAACGACAATGGAGTAACTCAAGTCAGTTGTCGGCACAACGGACATCTCGAGTGTTCAGCCCCTCACCTTTCTGTCAGACGCGACGCCGCTGCGCTCGTCCCCTCCGTCTGCCTCCTTCGTGTGGTTACGGACGGGGGCCATGTTGTTAAAAGTTTAACCCGGGCGCTGCCAGAAACCGAGCGGTTCGGAGGTCGGCGTCAGATTCCAAAGAGCCGTTACAGCTTGTCAGTGGGACAGATGGCCGTGCGGGGAGACCGGGCCGCTCACTGCTGCTCCGGGGGGGGCGGGGGGGGGGGGGTATACGACGGCTCATTTGCATATGAATGGGTCAACGGCCGCGACGACCCGGGGCGCGCGACGCGCGTTCCCGCGAGTCATCAGCTTCTGTCCCCTTAACTTCGGTCTGAATTTTGCGTCGAATGAGCGTTAAAGACGTGAACTCGTAAGTCAATCAGAGACGGGATGGGAAAAAAGTGCAAGATGTTTAAGTATGGCCTTTAAAAAAACATTTATTTGGATAGAAATGCCGCTGTAGATCGCTCTGAAATCAAATGATCACATGTTCTTCGCATGTAGGTCACACTGGATCCAGCGCCTTTTTGCAAAAAATATCTCCCACCATTTACCTCCTAATGTTAATATTCTTAAGCACGCTCTGCTATTGTGTGACGCCGCTATGCATCTGCTGATTCTCACTTTGCATCATTAGTCAGCAGGGCTCATGTCATGCTTGATTGCCAGCCATTAGTGCATTTGAGGACCACTGCTCCGCTCTCTGCGGAGAAATAAATGAACAATGTGAATTGGGACTGGATGAGCCATCTGCGAAGTACCCATGTGTTAAGATCCCGAAACGCAACAAAAAGAAATAACCCCTGAATTTGAATGTTTTCATTGTCGGTTCTGGTATAATTTAAGTTACTAATGCATTTAAACACCTATTTAGGTCGCGAAGCATATGACACACTCTATTAGCTTTTCATGTGTGGCGACAAAAGCTGTGTGCAGAACTGCAAAATGCCGTGTGCCGCAGAAGCGCAGCTGTGCTCTACATGCAGGTTTGCACTGATCCGCTCTTACAGCTTCATTGTTGGACCACCCTGCTGCTCACCCCCCGAATGTTATAAAGGTATAATATATGTACCTCACTACGATGACATTTTTATTTGTGAAATTGATTGATTCTTACTAAATACTGTCAATTAAATAATCACACTCAGGGTACAAATTGTTCAGTACACAGTGTGTCTAAATGTATATTTATATAATACTGTATGCATTCCTCACCAATGTCCATGTGAACAAGGACAGTTATCATCGATATTACAATCGTTGTTAGTTATAATTATCTGCAGTGGGGACATAGAGCTAAGTTTATCGCAGGCTCGTTAGCTGGCTGACAGTTTGCCATAACCCTGCATTTCCGGAGGATAGCGTTGAGAACAGGAGATGCAGCTTTAAATAAAACACGGAAAGCACTACCATATCGGGCACTTGCCTTCAGAATAAGGGCCCAATGCAGTGTGATATCAACGAACGGGAGATGAAAATAGCTTATTTTAATCTAGCAACATCTTGAAGCATTGGACTATATTTACAGGTTCACAGAGAGCCCACAAACAACGTACTAGGTATTAAATGCCATTTTGTAGGCAGACTTGAACTCTTATTTTGACAGCGGCGAGGCGGCTTTTCCTGCAGACCCACACAGCGCTTGTTCGTCAGAGAATACGCTCTTGTGAGGTCATCGATCCCCGGGGGCGACACTGGTCCGCCGCTATATAATCCTCCCAGCTCAGTGGATGAAACCAACGGGCCGAATCCGATAACGAGAGAAAGGAAAGGCAATCACAATCCGACCAAAAGAACATGGTGAAGATTAGTTTCCAGGCCGTTACGGCGCAGAAGCCTGAAAAAGAGATCGATGAAGACAAGATCATTATACCACAGGCTCACGTGAGTTGACACTCTTTGTCGATCTATTGTTTTATTTGTTGTGCATTGTATTGTGTCTCAGTGTAGCGTTAGTGTACGTAAGTATATTAGTATAGTATATTAACGGTACGAGCTGTATTGATTAATATGCCTGTTCATGCATCATCATGTCACGTTTTGAATTTGATATTCATCTGATAAATAATGACCTGTGGTTATGCATTCAACCTTGTATTGAAAAGCCCAGATCTCCAGAACCCATTAGGTTGCAGTTCAGTTTTTTAAATGCTACTGAATGGTTGATAATCCCGAGTGCACATGGTTATATTACTTTTTTTTATCATGCAGATACTATAGGACATTATTACTGCTAGGACATTATTTTGGACAGAAAAGGCTTAATGTACAGTTAGTTCTTAACGACAATGGATGAGACTGTCCATAGCAGATCATCTCAGCCTGGGGATGTTGACATTACGTCACCTTTGTTTGGCCTCCCCGAGGACACGCTGCAGATCGCTGTCCTGCAAGTGTGCCTTGAGCAGAATATTACACGAGTAATATTATAGTGAACATTTAATACACATCTCAGTATAGATGGTAGCTGCACCAGTCAGCCTGATAAATAACAGGAATTCAGAATGAATGCATGTTTTATACAAACAGTGAACATGATCCAAAGACTTATATTTGTTATGGAGCAAAATTGTCATTAGTAAAAAGTCAGGAATAAAGTTTGAACAAAAATGCCATTCATCCATAGCGATTCATGTATTTTATGAGTAGGATCTGAGTTCATTTGAAAGGATCGTATCTTTGTCGTGGCATATCCCTCCAATCCTTCGCCTTCAGGAGCAAATCCTCAAACGTGGCTAACCGGTATAACAGTTTTAACAATATTCCTTTCAAATTGCTTTTAATTAGATATGCAAATATGAGTTTATTGTGTATGATAGCTATTTTATTTTACAAAGGTATTGAATTAACCTGATCGCGTTCTAACCTACATAGATTTAGAAAACGAGTTAAACCTACAGTAAAGCCTAGTTTTTGTTCATTCTTTCTGGACCTCCTCCCAGGAGTTAGACTTAACAAGATATCTGGCACCAGATGGATGTGCGCCTCACGCTGCACACAATGAAAACCCCTCGATGACGCATCCATCGCCTTTTCACCTGTTTGTTACGTCGACAGTCAAATAAGATCTGATCTAAAGGGCTGTGTGGATTTCGATTGGCTGCGCGAGGAAGCCAGGCGTCAGAGCCAATATGTGTAGCTCTATTAACGTATACCGCCTCCGCTGAGGGACTCCTCCACGCAACTCCTCTCGCTTTGACTCCCTCTGACGGCGCCAGGAAACTAACAAATATGGAGCGTGGAAGTAGGCCTCCAAAAATAGACCCAGACGGCCACGTGCCAGCGTCTCCGTCAGAGCCTGGCACAATCTGTCCTCCCTACTTCTCCTCTCCATAGCAACAGTAGTGAGGAGAGGCAGCAGGCTCGATCCCAGACGCTCCACGTCCATCGCATCTCTCTGCCGACGGACAACTTTGTAACGACGCCCTGTCAGAAATGAGAACAGTTACATTTTCATCTTTGTCCAGGAAAACATTGAGAGGACATTACGTCCACTGATACGCCATCATAGAATTATTATTCATATGATATGACGTTCACTACCAAGGCGCAATCCAATATTTTGGCCAGACAGCCTCCTTGAGTATTTAATAGTATAATAGTATAATAGTATTACCTTGCTTCATTAAGACTTAACTGCACTCATACAGAGACTGAAATAAGCCGCAGCGTTGAGAAACCCCGCCCAGAAAACTCAAAATGTTCTTTGCACCTAATGTTGGGGAAGCTTTGGACTCCTACAAGATGCCACGTAATACCATCCTGTCAGAAGATACTGGTTACGTTTACACAGCGATCTATCCGACTTCTAACCTTCTAACCAAACTGCTGGTTTCTCCACAGGGGCAGCTGGTTCTTCCCGTCAGGCACAAAAAGCCTTTTCCAACCGGCCTCTGCTGCCTCACCTTTGGCCTGGTGGTCTTCATGTCAGGACTGGTGGTGTCCTCCATCTATGTCTATCGCTACTACTTCATACCTCAGGTCAGTTCACTCTGGATCCCTTTTCCTTGATTATATTATGAACCCAGTGCCACAGAATGTTTAATGATCAGAAAAAAACAAAAAGATTCAACATGTAACTGTCACATGCTAATTATAGCTCCATTGCGCCTCATTAGCAGATCCCAGAAGACAGCTTGTTCCACTGCCGGGTCGTCTACGAGGACTCTGTGTACGCTCCTCTGAGGGGCCGACATGAACTCGAGGAAAATGTTGGCATTTACCTCGACGATAACTACGAGCAAATCAGTGTTCCGGTGCCGCACTTTGGAGGCAGTGACCCCGCTGATATAATCCACGACTTTCACAGGGTAGGACGACGCCTCCACATGTTCCCCGGTTTGCTCTCATTGCATTTGGTTGCTGGTTGCTTCATTCCAGGCCAGTTTGTGACCTTTCTTTAAAATTGTTCTCAGGGCCTGACAGCTTATTATGACATCGCTTTGGACAAGTGCTACATCACAGAGCTGAACACAACCTTGGTGATGCCTCCGCGAAACCTGTGGGAGCTGCTCGTCAATGTCAAGGTGAGGCCGGCATGGAAGCCTCTGCTGGAGATGAATGACAGCGCATTCCCGTACCATGTGCAGTGATCCCCGCACAGACCGACCGACTCGGTGATTCATTTGTGTTTGCTCGCCACAGAGAGGGACGTACCTTCCCCAGACCTACATCATCCAGGAGGAGATGATGGTGACAGGGAGGGTGAGGAACATGAGGCAGCTGGGCCCGTTCATCCACCGACTCTGCTACGGCAAAGAAACCTACCGCCTCAGACGCCGCAACCTGCACAGACGTGAGTGCTCGCACACACTTCCCTTCCTTGCACTCAGGCGATATGAGATGGTAAATGACGCGTGATCGGTCACATCCGCTAATATATCCCCCTCTTTCACGCCAACGCTAGCAGGTGTTAAGTCACGGGAGCGAGCATGAAACAAGAACAACCAAATAGGGACTTCCTAGAGTACATTTCAGACATTCAGTGTCCAACAGCCTGGCAGCCTGATTATCATGTCAGTGCGTGTGTGTGGGCGCAGCCCGGGAACTTCCTGCTAAGTGACTCACTTGTAGTGCAGCGGACAATTCCACACACCACGGAGGAGGCAGTGATGTCTCTGTCGATGCTGCCCGGGATTGGTGTGCGCGATATGACGCAACAAGCTTCCCCTCGCTACATATAAGGGTGGGATTTGTGGGAGTCACATGAAGCCTTTTGTGGCACCAGAAATGAAATTACTACTGCAAAACCACTCCTCCAGTGAGCGGATTTGTAAATGCGTCTTCTTCTCTATTGCAGGTATCGAGAGGCGCGAGACAAAGAGGTGCCACAGCATTCGTCACTTTGAGAACACTTTTGTGGTTGAGACCGTGATCTGCGACCGGTTCTGAATCTGAAATCAGCCCTCTTGAGTTCATTAGGCTTTTTACTGCACTTTAAGAGCAAGTCTTTGTCCAACGGTTTTCCTTTTTCTTTTTTGTCTCAAGTTGGAAACGCTCTGCCATTGTTCGTGTTCACCGTTATTGTCTTTTTTTATTCACAGTCTGTATATTTGTAAGATGTTATACACGTGTTTGGATATATCTGTAGCTTCTCAAGCACTGCATAAGATGTTGTTGTCCGTTTGTTACATTTACATCAGATTAAGACTTGATTTGAATTTATTTTGGAAGTAGTGCACTGTGGCTGATGGTTTGGACATTTCAAAGCTGCTTGCATGGTGCACTCGTGTTTATCTTTGTTACTTGGTCGAATGGCGAAACATACCTCATGTACTTTAGACGTTTCTTTGCTGGTTTGTATCATTGACGATGGGTGTATATAACGGTGATTCTTCCTAAGCAATATATACTGTACATTGATTTGTTCTAGATTCCATATTGTTACATTCATAGATTTTTTATCTGAAATCGACTTGTTTTGTCTCTTTATTTCCGTTGGTGTCACACTTTACTACTCCTTGGATATAATGACTTTAGACTGTAATTAGTAGCAGTGCTTTAGACGGACAGAAGGAACCAAAGTCTGTTATAAGAGACGCTACGCTTCGCGTTAAGGATGCATGAGATATTTAGAAAGTGTGCTTTTTGGTTCAGATCACTTACTGTAGATGATATCAGAGGCTGAAACTTCGTCCTGCTCTTCCTCCTCTTCACTCTTTGTTGTCTTTAGCTCTCGCCAGTTCCGTCCTGTCCTGGCATCCTAATCTTTAAAATGATGATTTGTCCAACTTACAGAAAAAAATGGGGTGTCTTTCTAAAAACGAATGAATAAACGTGGAGCAAATGAGTCTCTGTTGAGAGAAACCTGTGACATTGGCTCATATGTCACTGTCCTGGATACTTTGTTTCAATGTACAGTCGATTTTTCTTGTAATATCTTTAAGAATAAATAATCAAACTTTTATTGTGTATTTAATGTTGATGAGCAAGTGTTCGTAAATCATGCACAACGTGAAAAGAAAAACTGTAGTCGGTGGTTAGTAATAAAGCATCTAGTCTTTATATACATACATATACATATGTGTATATATATATGTATGTATATAAAACATCACAGATGCAGAAACAATGTAACACCAAGCTCAAAGCCCTGATCCGTTTAGTTCCTGTTAATCATGCCCCACATAAGTGAGGATATCTTTCGATACAACGTGAAACTGCAGCGTTGAGAATCTTGACGAATCACAAAATGGTTTGTGGTTTGCGACGCACAACGTCATCCACTCTCTGATCTTCGTGTCTGAGCTTACCACCTTGAAAAAAGAACACATCGCGTCAACAATCTTCACGGCTTCGTATAAACGATTTTCTTTGAGAAAAACAAAACAGAAACAGAATTAAAAACATAACTGAACAGAATACAGAAAAAGTCAAATAGAAATGCCACAAAGAGGAAGCAAGTAATGCAGGTAAAACTAAACATGAAAAACTCCTAAACAAAAAGGATTTTACAATACAAACTATCGACTATAAATCCCATAACCGACCCAGCAGCTCAATGTTCTGCAGGTTGGGTTTGGCTCCGACTTTCACATCAATCAAATGTCCTCACAAACACTAGAATCACAACAGTCTTACTGTAATACACAGGCTACTAATAGCTGGCTTGTAACAATTTAATAATATTATTACAAGTTTGAAGTCACATTTTCAAAAATTGAATTCAAATAAATGTTTAAAACTACTTATTGAAAAGAAATAATGATATAACAATCTATACAAGCAGAAGATTATAGGCTATCCTTACATTGGAAATGTACAGCTGTGATACATGAATGTCACTTCTCTCCCTCTCATCTCACAATCTCCTGCAACTTGTGTCAGAGTCCGGCTCTCTGAGAGCTACCGGACCAAAACCACCAGAAAGCCTCCTGACGAGCACTGCGGTAAAACCAGGTTCCCCTCAGACCCGCCACTCTCTCCAATCCGCCTCATAAACAACGCCGCGTCCTTTTCAGTCTCCATGGCCTGCTCACATCCAGGACCTGCGGCGGTCCGAGTGCAGATACATCTATTTCCACTTGAATAATCCGCCGTTAGACCTCCGAAGTGCTGAAGGTGCCTCTTCTCTGGCTGGTCCTCGACAACCTGCCGGTCAGCTTGGGGCTCCTCACCTCGTGGGCGATGAAGTAGTAGCACAGAGCGTCCAGGCAGCAGGTGACGTTGGACAGGCACATGGCGGTCTGCAAGAACACGGTGATCGTGGTCTTGTTGCCGCAGTCTTGAATCACTCCTTGATGCACCTGGAATCATGCGGAGGGTCACGCGTGGAGAGACAGAGAAGCATTAGTTGGCCATTAACGATGCGCAATGCACTTACAGTAACACGAGAGGCAAAGCAGCAGTTGGGACTGAAATTACTCTCAAAATGATAGACTAGTTTCACGTCTCTAAGCGAAGCGCGCTGTGCTCTTCATCGCATGTGAGTGCGCCCTGCTTTGCACCCCATTCGCTGGGGAAGATGGCGCGCTGACTCATTCTCACCAGGAACTGCAGGAGGATGCCCAGGTGGCTCGGGGTGAAAGGAAGCACGAAGGCGCCCAGGCTGCTGAAGATGATCTTCGCGCAGGCGCGGCTCTGCGGGCTGCGCTGGCCCGACCGCTTCAGCGCCCAGATGGTCCGAGCCGAACAGTAAACCACCACCAACGCCGGCACCAGGAACCCAAACACCAGCAGGCAGATGATTAACGGAGGGCTCCAGCCGTCCTCCGAGAACCTGTGGAAGCAGTGGAAGTCCGTCTGCTTGGTCTCCCTGAAGCGGTGGGTGGTTGAGGAGACCGCCGCCAGCACCAGCGCCCACACCCCGACGCAGCTGCCCAGCGCCACCGCGGGGGAACGCAGTTGCTTGGCTTTGAACGGGTGGCAGATGGCCACCCATCGGTCCACGGCTATGCACACGATGGTGTAGATGCTGCCGTACGTTCCCCCGAAATACAGGCTTTCCAAGACCGAACAGAGCGGCTGGAGGGAGGGGGGCCAGAGGTTGTTGGCGGCGTACATTTTGAAGGGGAGCGGAAAGAGGAAGAGCAGGTCCATCAGGGCCAAGCTGGTCATGTAGATGGTGGACTCGGTCCATTTCCGCAGAAAGACGCAGAACACCAGGAGCGCTGCGACGTTGAGGATCGAGCCGAGGAGGAAGATGGGGATGTAGATGGACAGCTCCAAGTATCTCATGGGGCGGTCCACCTCTTCCAGCGAGCAGTTGCTTGTCATGCTGCTGCTGCTGCAGAGAAAATAGGGCGATCAGATCTCAAAGTAAATCTGTGTTTCCTGTCGCACTCTTTGTGCCCACACAGAACAATACGTAGACCAGCGCGGGAGGCCATCCCGAAACTCTCCGTGGTGTGGGTTCAAAAGCTGCCAGCTTGTTTTTAAATGTGCTCTTTAGAGCTGCACAAAGAGAGTTGTCTTTCCGTCGCACGCGTTGTACGGTATTTTTGATTCAAGTTTACACTAGAAGATAAATTATTTACACTGTTCAGAGTAACCTTAGTTTAGAGCTGAATTATAGACTTTTCTTTGAGAGTAAAGCGTACCAGAAGGATTTAATGAACCCAATGCAAATTTTTTTACAGAGGGAAATGTAAGTGTGAGTGTGTAAGAAAACACTGTCATCCACCCGCTCATCATCAGTCACTCACACAGATCATACAGAGCGTGTTAGTTAGATCACTGTTGTTTCAAATACTATTTAACGATCGCCTTACGCCTATTCCGTACTTGTAGACAATCATTTTGGGGATATTCATAATTAACTTCAAGGCGTGTGATTTAGATATTTAAACAAAACCCAGAGATTTAAGAGCAACAATGATCTGCCACTCCTGTTTGCTGTGGAAAGTGTAGCTGCAGTCTTACCTCATCGATGCCAGTCTGTCAGCGTCTGTGTGGCTGTCTGCTGTGCGTCTGTCACACTTCTGCTTTCTGTGCCTTTGTTGTTTCATCACCACTTCCTGAGTCATGCCAAGCATCATGTTTTCGCTTGAGGTGTGAATTCTAGCCATCTCCAATCCAGGTTGAGGTAAAAAGACCTCCCGGCTACATTTCTATATGGGTAAGAAGTGTGCAGACGTGCACACTGTGCCGATCACTGCAAACTGCTCCCTTTTCATTTGATGATCACTTTCTACGGAGTACCGTTAGAGCACATCTGGGTCTGGCCCCACGCTACGTAGAAGACATGTTCACCCCGTAATGAGTCCAATCACAGATCCTTTGGTGACTTTTCTAACGTCGAGGCTCAAAACTCGTGGTGACTCTGTTTTTGCCATCAGAAATGAGGCTCAGAACCAGGGATCTCCTTTAAATGGCCACGCAAAACCCATCTTTACAGACTGATGCTATCTTCTCTGATTTTATTCTATTTGCAATAATGTCTATTACCTGTATTGCTTTATTTCGATTTGTATTTATTGCATTCATTAGATTGTTTCCAGAAGTGACGAGATGAATTGTTGCCTTTTCTCTATTTTATTTCATCATTTGGTTTGAAAACACCTCATTTACAAACACCATCTTGGGCTCAAGGGCATTCTTTTTTGTATTCATACATTTCCAAAGAGTAATTCATTATTTGATGAATATGTCATAAACAGTAGTTTAAATAACCATTAGTTGCAGCCCTAATGAATATTTAAAAGAACGTGAAAAAAACATTTATACAGTTAACGAGAACATTAGATGAGAGGATCAGGAGACGTTTGCTTCCCAGCTTTCTAGTCTGAAGGCCAACGTCAGCCTTCTAACAGGCGCAACAACGTGCTGATGCTCAGCCGGTGTGACTTGCACCGCGTTCCCCGTCGCTGGGAACAATCGTACTTCCGTCTCTCGACGAACCGGCTCGGGGACTTTGTGTCTTTTTATAACGACCTTCTGTTTTTTCGGTTTCCATCTCTTAGTCATGTATTTTAATCTCGCAGTGACTGGCAATAACACGTGATCCCCAGTGATTTCTGTCCCTCTGTCAGCACAGCTGGGGTAAGTATGAGTGTGCCAGTGGAAATCTAGTCGTCTTGTTGTTTTGAGGCGCGTGAGAAGCTGCAGATTCAGACACCGATTGCCTTTGAGGTTTTCCTGCTCAAATCACTTAAGCTCGTTTCAACCCAGAGAAATATCGTCGCATCTTAAATTCAGAACCTGTTGGCAGTGATTGATGAATGCCGATGGTTGGGTACATTCGACATCTCTTTCAACTTTAAAGGTCAATGAGTGATTTTGAGCGTGCAGCTGCAGAGGATGTCGTCTGGCTGAGCAGAGAAGGACCAGCCTGCCCTGCATGTTGTAAGCAGACGTCCTCTAGTTGGTACCGTTGACTTCCGGCTGCCGGCTCAGCCGCGTTGTGACCCGTGTGCGAATTTCGTATCAGCAGCCAATCTTACATCTGAAATGAAGGGCTGGTGTACATTCTGCTTTAACTCTGCGTAGAGGAATTCATTTGGTCTCAATTAAAGTATAAAATCTGCAGTTTTCAATAATGATTAAATAAAACCAAATGTCTCATTTATGTCTTAAACAAAACATGTTTTACTCATTCAACACCTCATAAGAAAATTGCAGGAAAAATAAATTCTACATGACAAATTACGAAGACAAATAGTTACAATAACAAGTGAAAATAATCCTCCATAAATAACATAATTATTGTGTTGACTCAGTGGTCATTTAAAAAAACCTGACACAGACAGTAATTGGCATCAGATTTATTGGCTTTATTTATTCAATCACATTATCATGGCCGAGGATGCAGTGAAATACAAAGTAATGTCACTAAAATAATTTAGAATCTCTGGCAAATAAAATGATAAGAAAAAACTACTCACTCAACTCTGACTGTTGACACAGATGGAGGAAGCCGTTCTAAACGGTTTCATCCTCATTCTGATTCCACTGCTTGAAGACTTGTGAACGTGTGACACGAAGGACGATTTATTTTTGATTGGAATCAAAACGAAAAAACTGTGTGCATCTTTCTTAAAAAATGACAGATGAATACAGACAAACAAAAGCAGGCGTACTTTGGACAACTACAAGCCGACGCGTGCAGAAAACTATTCCAAAAAACCAACAGCCCTCAGACGTTTAAGCAGCATGCAAGAGTTCCACTGGAAGAGCCAGCCAGTGACGAGGAGCAGGTCCAGGTGTGTGGACGGGGGGGGGACCTGTCAATCAAGGGACCCGCCGCCACCCTTCAGCGAAGCCAAAGACACGACTCAGACTGAAAGAAAGAAGCAGGACACACACACACACACACACACACACACACACACACACACACACACACACACACACACACACACACACACACACACACACACAGACACTCTAGGAGGCGGTGAATTTCCTCAGTGTGATGACGATGAGGGCGAGAAGGACAGACGCTCCCAGGAAGACGGCTATAACGATGGCGGTGATGGCCCCCGGCCCGAGCCCCCCTGCAACGCACACGGCGACGCAACTTCACACCACTGGAACACACAACGCTGACGGGACATTTGGTGCACGAAGGGTCGGGGGAAATTACCGGCCTCCCCGTCCAGGGGGTGAGGGTGCGTGGCGTCCTCGTAGTCGAAGGGCTGCTCCGTCCTGCCGGGGAAGGGGTCCTTGGTGGTGAGGTCACCGGGGGGTTCTCCAGACATGGTGTCCTGGTTGTCCCTGGTTGTCGAGTCTGCGACCGTCTCTGCAAACCGAGAAAGAAAACAAAAAATCTGAATTCCCGCGTCCACTTTCTGCGCGTCCTTTATATACGAGGAGCAACTTTCACCAACGGCTGTGTTTGACTTTGTCGGTGAACGCCGAGGCCTCCGGGACGCACACATGGCCTCTTCTGTAATGACCCCAACAGCCCCGCTCTGTCTCGCTGGGTTCAACGGCTCGGGCACAAGGGCGTCTTTGTAGAGGACGGACGTTTCGTCCGTTTGAGCAACGGATCCTCTCGGCGGCTTTCAAGGGTTCAGTCAAGCTTGCATAAGAATCGTCCTTTCAGGCAACTTATTTGTGTTTGTATTTGTTTTTCCTTCGACACACAGTGTCGAGAGACGCAATGATTTGCTATTGATCCCACAAAGTGACCCGGAGACGTCGACAGCAGCCGGGAGGAACATTTCCTTCTGCTAAGATCCCCCCCAGGTCGACTCTTAAAATCCACCATTATTGACATTCTTTATTAACTCAACTGCACGGTTTTCTGTTGAAATTAATTTGTTTTCCAGCCCCATAACACATGAATACCTCCTAAAAGTGTTTCACCTGTGCACGCTCACTCCGGTGCCTCCTGCGTTCTGATGGGAGTATTTTGATGCCGCCGTGTTGACCGAGCGGCGCGCGGCTCCCCGTCCTGTAGCTGGCCGGCGGCTCGGAGGCCCGGGCCTCCGGCCAGCTCGCTCATCAATGAGGCCTTCAGGCCGGCGCACAAAAGGCAGCTTGTGCGGTCACGCCGGGCGTCGGGCTGCAACCGGTAACAACCGGCCGGGGCCCAGAGGAGGCAGCGGCCGGGGCGCTGGGTGTCAAACCAACTTGTTTATTAAACAGTCCCTGTGTGCAGAAGGGGCCCAGCCTTCGGGACGGCTTGATTTAATAAGGGGGCTTAAATAACAACACCATGTTTCCACGGGTGTTTGTTTTCCATGAGGAAGAGTTCACTCCAGCTAATAACGTCTGGGAAATGGAATTAATGTACCCAGAAAAGAAACCGTCGTCATGCTCGTCCTCTGGTAGTGCCCCACCACACTGGTAATCCTGTTTGGCTTGTTTCCTCCTCAACACATGAGGTTTTTTGGTTGGAGGTGAGTTCTGCTTTCCTTGAGTCAAAGTGGAGCGTAATCACCCCTCAGCGGACGGGAAGCCCTGGTTGGAAATAACTCCAGCAAGTGACACTATTTAGAGAGACGACTCCACGTGTCAATCAAGAGAATCCGTCTCTTTGCACAAGTCCGGGTTAATAAAAGCCCAGCGGACTGAAGGGGAGAGCGAGTTCAGACTCTTAAAAACACAGGCGGCCATTTGTTGGTGGCTGAAGCCTCTTGGGTCAGGATCTCACACCAGGCAGGGAGATGACAGAACGCCGCCCGCCCCCCTCTCCCCCCCTCTCCCCCCGACACCGAAAACAAACAAACAGGACATCGGCGCTGTGGCGTCTCCTGGTTTCACCCACGTCTCGTTTCACATTGGAAAATATAACCCAGAGATGAACTCCTGTGTAAAGTCGTTTCACTGACTGGTTACCAGCTGCTTCACTGGGCTGCAGAGTGGAAAGTCTCCCCCCTGTACTTGCGAGGCACTGAGGCAACGTGGAGAAGAGGCAGCGGGACATTAGAACGCTGCTCACGGCACCTCGATGTTAACGGACAGAAACCTTTTTGTTTGTGTGTTTAGTCAGTGGTTTTTTTTCCTCTCTCTCTCTCACGGGACAGGGAGGACATTGTCGGCTCGCTTCGTCCCCCCCCCCGTCGTTCCCGTTGCCCTCTTGACCTCCACGGTGGCCTTTTGGACCCGAGCGCTTTCTCTGCTGTGTCCAAAGCCCCTTTTCAAGTTGGTTCGATAGATGTCGCACAGAGGAGCAGAAAAATACAGAAGTAGAAGTGAAAGAACAGCGACTGCGCCCGTCTGTCCAAAATACGGCACTGATGCAGAGAACGAGGTGACGTTGGGTGAAAAAAAAAAAAAAGTTCAGCTGCAGAGCTTCTTACAACCACCAACACTTAAATCTGCACCTACGTGAAATAATAAGCAACAAAAATTCTGTCTCAACAACGGCCTCGTTTACATCGGAGTACAGGACCACATGTGAGTGTGTGTGAACAGTACACGTATACTTGATGCCTACAGATGACCAAACATCAGCCCATTAACCACATACAGCAGATATATCCGCATATAACTACGACTACGATTTGGAATCCAAAATCTTTAACACATCAATTCTGCAATCTTCCACCATCTCCACAAAAAGGATTTAAAATGAGTTTCTTCAGAATTTCCTTTTTGTTCCCATATTTGTTAAAGAACGTTGCCCGTGACGTTGCAAAGGTGGCAGCAGGATTATTTTCTATAAATCAGACTTATCTGATGTGAAATAAGCATATTCATCACACACTCAAAAGGAGGTTTACCTGAGTGTACAAAGGCCACCAAGACGCTTAGGAGCAGCAGCAGGAGGAACCTGCAGGTTCTGCGGCCGTGGACCATGGTGGCTGTGAGGGACGAGGTGTCGGCTGCTGAACTTCAAACGAGTAGCTGACCATGGAAGAGGAGCAGGAGAGGAGTACGGGGGAGCACAGGAGGGGGAGAGGTAGGCAGGCGAGGGGGTGAGTGAAGGGGCGGGACTAGGTGCGCACAGGACCGTCTGGACAGTGTGGACTTTGTGAGCACGCCGGCGGCGGCGGCCCACCCATTACAAAACCCCTACTAGTGTGAGGGGTAAACACGCCGGTCGCATCGCGAACGTCTCCGCATGGACATTTCACGCCTTCAGGCCGGAAACGTGTGACGGCAGAAGAATTCATCTTAAAAAACAAAGACGGACGTGGCGGAGAAAGTACCGTGGTCTAAAAATCACACAAAGTACCCGTCAAATAAAAGTGGTTTATATTATTTAATTGATGTAATTTTCCCCTCACGGGGCTTTGGAGAGAAGTGTTTCCTCGGGGCAATTGGCTCATGTTTGTTTCGTGGTGTAGAGTCACGGAGAACATCTCTGGCTGGGGGTCGTGAAGTCGGGGCCTGCGTTTCCTCTCCGGCACGCGGCCGTTCCAACGCACACGTTGCACAACGAGGTCTCGCGCAGTGAAAACGGTACCAGCGAGGCTCCGACACTGAGGGGTGTCAGAAGAAAAAAAGGCTTCCGCTTCAGTCTAGCGACCAAGTGTCTGCGGGTTTCATTTCCTTTTTCGTGGATGTCAATTCAATCGTGTCACTTACAGCTTAAAATGCACTTTTACTCGTCATGTTGGATCACACGAACCCCTGTGGGAGATTCTGATACAGGAAGACATTTGCCAGTTTGGAACTAAATTCTTTTGAAAAGTGTCTTCCGTGCATTAACGTTGTGAATGCAGTGGCTCCGCTCGTGTAAACGCTTTCATTCTATTCATTCACACATTTTATTGTAACCGCTTGTGAATCAAAGACACGTTGCAGATTTGAGTTCTTTCCGATTGGTTTGGACACAGGCGTGGACAGCCCACCGACTGCTTTATTTAATACGTCAATAAAAAAAAACTCCAGCAGATCGTTTTCATATATTATAATACAGATGCAGAGTTGAAAGTTTATTCTTCAAACAGCCTAGTATTTTACAAGAAATAGATAACTACTTGGAACTTTTGACATGTCCTTAAAACAGGACATCAGTGGGCACGAATCCTTGGGCTCTACCGTGTCTCCATTATCCATGAACACCCAGCATAAAACAGGAGGAGGGAGGGGAGGGATTAAAGTGGAACACAAGAGCGCCACGCGACATATCGAGGCTCCACCCCTTTTTCTTTGTTTCTCTCCAATGACGCGTGAAACGTGTTTTTATCTCACCTGGTTCTCTTCCACCTACAACAAAGAAAAGGCAGTTTCGTTTGGGGACAATGACCACGCCGACAAACACCTGCGCAATACTTGAGTCCCGATACGCGATGTCAATTTTGGTTGTAATGTGAACACAGCGTCGGGAAGGGGGGGGACTTCCAATAAATAAAACACCAAAAAGAAGTTAATTTCGGACCCTTTTCCCATAACACTCCATCTATATCCCATACAAATAAGAGTCCAAATATGACCAATTTGTTGCAGGACACGAGTCGGGTCCGAGCCGCCGGTGGACCCTGGAGTTGATTTGGCGGTGCTCTCTCGGCTGGTCGGGTGTCCCACTGGCCAGTTTGCTGCAGTCCACTTCTCCTCCGTCAGACCTTCGGTCCGTGAGCAAGAAGAAAACACTCTCTGCCTCAGAGATCGCAGTTTGTTCGCAAATTGGAATTAATGAGATTACCAGTTTGTCTGATAATTGCGAAACAAAAAATATATGTGAACGTTGTGGAAGAATTTGGGGGGGGAGGAGGGGGGGGTTGGGTAAAACAGCTGCTGTTCAAATTGGATACAGTCAGTGGAGTTGCTTGGCCGCAATCCCTTTATCAGTCCTCCAAAGTCTCAATCTCTCCCATATTCAATCTCTCAGATGACGCATTCACAGAGAAACCTGAAACAAACGAAGGATCCAATTAGCAGCTGAGCCGTGAACTGCAGTGACGCGTCATTCCAGAGTCTTCAGATGCAGCAGATGGACCGTTACCTAGAAGGCTGGGGTCCGCGCGGACCATCTTCTGCTTCTTTTTCTTCTTCCCAGAGGTGACCGTCTCGAAGCGCTGCTGCTGGTGGCCACTGGTGTGGTTGGACTGGTAGGGTGACGGAGATCCTGTTCCGCCCCATACGGAATCCTGCACAGAACGTCAAAATGGTACAAATCGACTGGGTGTGGTCACATCGGAGGGGAAAGAAAAAGAAACACTAGTCCCACGCTTGTTCTTTTGCTTTTTAGGCCTTTATGGGGTGGAAATGGGAGCACAAACACAGGGCGCCTGGCACCACTTCAGCCTTGCTCACCTGCTGCTGCTGCTTGAGGGTTTGCTGTTGGTTCTGCGGTGCCGCTTTCGGTTGGTTAGCGTTCTGTTTGGCCCGACGTTCCAGGAACTGGTTGGCAAAGTCCTTGGCGTCGGGAGTGTCCCCCAGGTAGGCCCTGACATAGTCGTGCACCTCGTACGGAGAGTCCACCTCTTTCAGGAAGGATGCAAACGTAGGAACTGCCGGGCAGACGGATGGAGGAGGTTTGTGAGTAGCTGGAGGTGCACTGCCTTTGCAAAGCATGTTTATGAGCAAGTCTCACCATCCAGGTTGTTGGCGGTGTTGAGGGTGTGCAGGGTTTGCTCGCACCATTGCATGAAGGTGTCCTGCTTGCCCTTATTGACTCCTTGGAACAGCTTTAGCAGCTTTTCCTCCTCCTCAGCTTTCTTATTGGCCCGCCCACTCCCAGAGTTACTGTGCAAAAAATACAGAAGCAAGACAAAAAGAAGGTGTGTGTATTACTCACTTCATATATATTCTTCCGCAGGTTGTGACCAGGACATTTCTACTTTGGCGTTCTTAATACCTGAGGTTTGCGTTGCCTTTGTTGTTCTTCTGCGTGCTGCCTTTCTTTGTTGGAGGAGGTTGAACCGCTTCTTTCACCGCCTCGTCCCAGAAGCCCATGTTAGCGTTGTGGGTGTCACCCCAGATACTGCTGGAGTCTGACCCCCAGTTAGGGCACACGGTGGCGTTCACGGACCCCCACACCGAGCTACTCAGAGACGACGTCTGTGAAGAGAGCGAGATGCGGTTACTTTCATAACACTGGTTGCTAGGGACGCACGTCACAACGGTTTATCTGCCGCTTACTAGCTTGACTAGTCCGTTGTTTCGTCTATAGAATGTCAGAAAAGGCCCATCACCATTTCCAGAAGCTAAGAGTTTTAGCGCTTACCTATTTAAATCAAATCTGCATCGAGTAATATTCTGGGCTTAACTTCTAATGTGAAAATGTTGCTAATTCTTATAGAAATCCCTGCAGCTCTACACTGCTTTTATTTAGCCAATAAGACGCAGTATCGTGTCGGTCACATACCGTTCTGTTCTGAGAGCGGGTCTGTTGGGGGACGATGGAGTGTGGTTGCTGCTGCGGCTGCTGCTGCTGCCTGGGCGGCGGTGGTGGTTGTTGTATTTGTTGTTGTTGCTGCAGCAGCAGTAGTTGCTGTTGTTGTTGTTGTTGTTGTTGCTGCTGCTGCTGCTGCTGTTGTTGCTGCTGCTGTTGTTGTTGTTGTTGCTGCTGCTGCTGTTGTTGTTGCTGCTGCTGCTGCTGCTGCTCCTTCCGTTGTTTCATCTGCTGGGCTTCTTCCCTTTGAATCACCAGCAAAGACTTTGTAGCAGCTGGCTGATTGGCCACACTTCCCCAACCAGACAACTTGGACTGGGGCTGCTGAGCCAGATGCAAGGCCTGCTGCTGCTGTACTTTCAGGAGCTCTTGTTGCTGACGTCGCTGCTGTGGGTTGAAATAAAAAGGCATACACTGTAGCGTAGGAATACACTGAATAAATAAATATATGAACAATAATCATTTAAAAAAAAAGAAGATATTTGTCTGAATGAAAAGACGCTTACTCTGCCCTCAAAAGAGGCACTAAAACATGATGTGAACAAAAGGCTGGCTGCATTTACCTCCTCACGCGTCTGTCGCTCTCTCTCCTCCTCCAGCTTCTGGATCTCAGCCAGTGACAAGGCGCTCTGCGTCTGGTTCACAGCGCTGACCGACTGCTGGCCCCACTTCGAAGAGGACGGCAGCTGCAGAGCAGAAGAGGTGTTTTAACACGTCAAACAGCTTATGCCATCTTCACTGACGTATCCTCCGCGCTTACCTTCATCTGTGCGAGTTGCTGCTGCTGCTGCTGCTGCTGTTGAAGTCTCCTGAGAGCCTCTTGTTGCTGCTGCCTTTGCCTCTGTAGCTCCTGCTGCTTTTGGACCTCCTGCTCTTTCCTTTTCTGCTCCTCCAGTTGTTGTTGGGCAGCAGCAGCAGCCGCCGCCTCTTCCTCCGCTCGCTTTTCCTCCTCCCGCCTCCTTAATGCTTCAAGTTCCTCCTGCTGCTTCCTGCGCTCCTCTGCCTGATAACGGTAGAAAACATTGCATTTTAGGGACATTTCACAAATCCAGTAAGGAAGTAGGAAGTACATGACATTTCCATAGCTTGCCTGTTTGCGAAGGAACGCTTCCTGTTTATTTCTCTCCTCCTCTTCCCTCCGTCTCTCCTCTAATCGACGGAGAGCGTCCTCTTGTGCCATTCTCTCCTCTTCCTCTTTTTGTCTGCGCTGTGCCTCCTCTTGCTCTCGCTGCCGTCTTAATGCTGCCTCCTGGAAACACACAACACTGGCTCAGTCCTCAACAGCCATCAAGGAACCAGCTCTCACAATGAAACAGCAGCACAACGGTTTGGGTGCTTCAAATCGATATCGTTTGAATGCGCGACCTGTTTTTGCCGTGCCAGCTCCTCTTCTTCCAAGCGTTTGCGTTCCTCCTCCTGTCGAGCCCTCAGGGCCTCCTCCAGGCGTTTCCTTTCCTCTTCCTCCCTTTTGGCTCTCATTTCTGCATCACGCCTCTCCAACTCCACCTGTCGTAAGAGGCAATCAAAGGTCCCCCCTCCATTGTATTATCCAGAGAGACGCAAATCGAGAATGTATCTAGACAGTTCTACATATTAAAATCACTGATTCATCAGCCTAATAACTATCTGAATGCAATTTATTTCATCTTACAAATCACAAAACAACATTCTCAGGCTTTCAAAAACACTCATCCATTGGCTGTGTCTTTATCCAAGGCGATAGGACGTCTTGACTTTACTGGAAACAGCGTTTACCTTTGCAGACTTTGACTTCTCCACCTGTTGCATCTGCTCGATGGTCGGCGCCTGAGCCACGGAGTCTATCGGCAAATCCCACACGCTGCTGCCATCCCACGCTGTGGAGTGACACAATACAACGCGTTAGACCCGTCATAATGGGACAGACCTTTTCTGGTCCTCTCGTGTGATTCTAAGGGACACATTTGAGGGAGCGCTCACTATTTGGAGCAGCTTGTGGAACGTTCGGTGTGCAGGAAGCCTGAGAGGACGCGTTCTGCATTTCCCACACGGAACCAGAGTCCGGTACCGACAGGGTCCGGGTTACAGGAGGCAGGGGGCTTTCAGATGCTCTAAAAAAAATAAAAAAAACCACACACATTAATACACATGCAACACTCATCATGTCAACGCACGGTAAGATTTGCCAACACCGAAGCACAGATGGATTAAGAGGTGGTCTGATCGACCTTAGCTTGAGAGCCTGGTACTGCTGCAGAAGCAGGTTGATCTGCTGTTGGTGTTGCTGCTGCTGTTGAAGCGGTGCGGAGCTGAGAGCCGCAGCTTTCTGCTGCGCCAGAGCCTGAGCATACTGCTGCCTGAGCGGTGGAAGAGGAAGAGAATGACAAGCAAACAGGATTTAGCATTGGAATAATATTAGTGGATGATTCACCTCATGTTTATTACCAGAGGCCACAGTGACGTTAGTAATGTTTTGATGAATTTGGCAAAGCTAGATGTTTTCTGTTACATGTGTATTATTGGGGTGCATGTCTTTGTGTGGTGGAGGGAAGACGTTAGCGCTTTAACCGATTTCTTCACCGAGTCTAGAAAGTAAGGCATGTTATAAATGACTAGATTTAGACATATTTCTCTTATCACACAAACAACCGCGCTGCAACTGCAGACAGAAACAAGTGTGATCTGGAGCCTGGTGTACCTGAGGAGGTATTGATATTGAAGCTGCTGTAACTGGTAAAGATTGAGAGCGGTGAGCTCTTGCTGCCTCTTCAATCTCTCCTGATCACCATCCCCCTGCATTACAAGAGACAATTTGAATAAATAATAGCAGTCAAATAGCTCAGGCAAAAAGTAGCAACAAACAAACAATCTCAATGGTATGTATAAAAAGGGCTGAGGCAGATCTTTGTCGCTTTAAAGAGAACGAGAAGGGTCTTCACACCATTTTATAAATACATGAAGAATTCCTCTAAAGGATTAGAAGAGTGGCATACCCCACCACCTGCAGGCCGTGGCTAGTACGGATTCAAATCATAAACTTTGGACAGCCATTTGAAACAGCGCTGATTCCGCCAACCTGTAGAGGTGGTGGTGCATGGCCTGGAGTGAACGGTACTCTGCCCCATATCTTCATGATCTCTCCAAGCGCTTGAAACACTTCGTCGCATCCTCTTTTGACCAAGAGAGACATGGTGAAGTAACCAGCCTGGAACCATTCCGTCATCTCGTGGTTATTGAATGGACCTGAGGGGGGACAAAACGTCTCAGGGGCGCAGTTTTGAAAATAATAAGAAAAAATGGATGCTAAGCAGTCCAGTCACATTTTGAGGAGTCAAAAAACAACAACACTCTTCTTGTCTTACCCTGGATCTCCCCTTGGGGGTCTTTGTAGAACCACTTGAGAGCCGCCTCGTGGGTGAGTGACAGGCCTGCAGGTTTGGGCTTCTCTGAAGTCTTTGCTGGAAGTCTGTCATCATCCACCACACTATCCTGTAGGTAAGCCACCATCTTTTCTGCCTCCTGCGAGAAGGTGGGTGCCAAGACAGAGATAGAACTTCAGAAGGCTACAGCGTAACTCATAAGCCGGTTTAGAATCAAGATCGAAAGGCCTCCTGCTCCCGCTTTGCCGAGGAGTTAACTAATTGGTTGCTGGAGTTTGAGGGGGTCAGAAAAGGTATGAATGGTTTTATCGTCTTTTAGAACAAATTAACTTTTAAATCCATGGTTTGATTTGAATGAACGCTCCATCACTGCTTTAATATAGAGATTTTTAAAGTGCTATGACTGTTTTTGGAATAGAGAATAACTTCTACTAACTTACCCGCTCAAAGTGTTTCAGTCCATCTTCATCTGTATCATGTGACACAACCTGCCTGCCTATCGGTGCCATTACACTTGAAGAGAAAGGCAAAGGATTGTTCATGGTCACAGGAATCTCTAGAGGCTTTTGTGGTAGTTGGATGCTGGGCGATGGAGCAGATACTTCTGTATAAACAGCATGAGGAAAAAGCAGATCTTCGCAGGTGTGCCTATGAAAGCAACAAGAAAATGTCATATTTATAATGTCACAGACGCATATCCCACCTGTTCTGGTTGTAATGTGGTTCATGGGTAGGGAATCAAGCATGCTGTTTGACATGGGGATGCGCAGGGGGACTTTGCAAAGCTCTGATGGGAGCTCCAGGGGGGGCTGGCGTTCAGCCGGCCTCTCAGCCTCTTCTGTCCTGTTGGGCTGGCTCAGGGACAGAGGCTGGGCAGCAACCTGGGGCTCTGAGGGAGGGGGAGGAAGAGGTTAAGACTCCTCTGATGTTCTCGACTCTAATAAATGTAACAATAATAACAAGGACATGAGATGGTACCATAAGCTGTATAACTGTGACCCTCAAATGAACAGTTTTCATAACAGTTGATGCTGAAATAATTGACGAGGAGCGTGAGAACCTCTTCCCTGTTTAAATTGTTAACAGTAAATTAAATTGAATTAAATTAATTAATTAATTATTAATTAAATTAAAATTGTTAACAGTAAATTCTTATTTCAACATGTGGTTTGTGGTTAAGGCAGCAAACATCTGATCAGCAGTCAATTGGCTTTCTGTGTCCTTTACAACAAATACGGCTTTGCAAAAAGCGTGGTGTTATACTTACTGCACGTTTCTATAATGTAAGCTGGGACAAATGACTGTACGAAGGTAACAAAGATCACGAGCAGAATACCATTCAGGTGTAGACAGACGGGCTGGCTAAACAAAAGCGTTATGAGAGAACTGCATATACACAGAATAGTATTGATTTTGTGTTGCATATCAATGCTGAATATTTGAAACGGTTTCCATAACTAACTAATTTACTGCATTTCAGATAATCAAGTACCGGCTCTGCTTTCTGCTCCCTCCTCAAACGCACTGCAGCAAACCAACTCACGCAGGATTGTCTTGTTGTCAACAGTCTCAATCGTTTTGTTTGAGTAGAAAACATTTTTTGTTTTGGTCATCTTGCCGTTTAGTTTGGGAGCATAATGCTGAAATATCTCCTAAACATACCCAATATATCCATCAAGCATGTGTTGCAAATACATACATATTCTTTTATTTGGGTAGAAATAATTTAGGAAAAAGGTGGAAGATTCTTGCACTACGTTCTTACCTATGCTTCTCATACAACTTGAAAAATAACGAATTAATAATAGAGAAAAAACAAACATAAAAAATAGAAAAGCCAAACCAACTGACCTTCTCGATCGGATTCTCCCCTGGCCTCCGCTACCATTTCTTTGGTCTCCCTGGGCTGACAGTCATCCTCCTCCAGGCCCTCTTCACACTCTTCCAAGGGTCTGAAGTCCAGCTCTCCTTCCTCCAGGATCGGCTCCTTGGAGGATTTCTGAATACACAACGAGAAAACATCAACACCACTCTGACTTATTACATTGACTCTGATTTATGGAATGCCGATCACGTCAAAGGAATTAGTCGCTCCATAATAGTGACGCAAATTAGAGAAGACGAGCCATTTATATAAAGCCAGTGCTGTGCCCGTTGGAACAGGCAGGTTGAAGATTTATTGAGAGCCTTTCTTATCCAAACAAACGGCCACTGTAGTTAATACACCTGCCATGATATAGTTGCATCCTAGAGCATCGATTGGGTACAAAAGCCTCACCACCAACATGGAGAGAGCGTCAGAACAGTTAGCAGGGCGCCTACTGGTGACTATGTTCAAACTCCACACTCCGCCTCTTCAGCAACATGTCTATTGAAGCTTGATTTCAAAGACAATCCATGATTGTATTTAAGCAAAACTCTTCTCTAACCTTGAGTGAGAGAAAGGCCCCTGATGAGTCGAAGGTGCCCGCCTCCTCCTCTGCGTCCTCCAGACACCACTCTGGCAGGCTGTCCCTCTCGTCCTCCAAGCTGCCGCTACCCGACCGCGGCCTCCTGTAGCCGCGCTCGTCTTCTCTCGCATCAAACGGGAAACGGCGACGCTGTTCCGCGAGTTCCCGCCACCCTGCTGACCGAGGGCCCTCTGAGGTAAATATCTCACATCGACAACCAATCACAATCTAATGATCTGCCTAATCAATTGCACTACTGTTGTTTTGAGCTATGCATTAAGAGCTAACAGGGAAGTACCAGTTCACCATTGAATTGGGAACCCCTGGGCCCACCAGTTACTGTCCCAGTGACACTGTCCCCCCCCCCGCCACTCCCACCATCCTCACCATTCTGAGAAGAACGCCAGTTCTCGCTCTCTGAGCGCGTGAAATCGTGCTTCCTCGGGAGGCCTAGGACAGCATCCTCAAAGTTGCTCCGGACTGGAAAGAGTGGAGGGATGGTTAACTAAAGAAGCCAACTCAATTAACTGCCTTCCTAAAAAACAATTTATTTTTGTCAACAACCTGATACCACGGTTTAATTATTAGGCTAGGAAGTTCACTTACCGTGATTCATCGGAAAATGTCCTGGGGAAACTTCCACTGCGGTAAACAACAACAAGTAAATAAGCCGGTGCATTTGACATTTCAACTTGGACATGTAACGATTACTTGGTTGTGACACCAACCTGGGTCTTTTCGACCTGGCTTTTCAAACCGCCGCTCTCCCCTGGTGAGGAAGAGAAAGAGAAACACCGTTAACGTTGAGTTAAAGAAGCCCGTATTGAACATCTATGCATTGTCCAAATAAGTCAACAAATGGGAATTTTGATACCTTTCTTCCCAGCTTTGGGAACGATGCATCTCCCTCGCTCCACGACCAAAACCTTCCACATCGTCAAAACTTCTTTGGTAAAAACCTCCATCTCCTCTTCCCCGGCCTGAAAACAGTCACAGGTTGACACAACTTAACGTGACCGGAGGAGGTCGAGTTGCCGTTGACTGCTAAGCATGAACCAACCTTTAGGCAGGAGTTTACATTGTAATCACAGATCTGACAGCAGCAGAGGGTTACATAAAAAACACCTGACGTTTTCTAAGAAATTAGTTTATAACCACCGCCACTGTTGAACCTGCGTTACTAAAACATACACTAAGATAACTTGACTACCAACAACAACGGCATCCTTGTGCTGTACAACCTTCTTCTTTTAAATCCAAGGATGTCGTTTAACTCACTGTTGTGGTTATTTCATTTGTTCCATTATTCGTAGAGCATATTCTCCATCAGTGACATAGCAGTTATGTTTTGGTATCCTGGTGCACAGTACCAGTCAAAGTGAGTCTGATTGGTACTGTGCATAATGACTAATATTCGCACCCACGTCTGTCAGAGGGCAAAAAAATATTTTGCAGTGTCGACATCTTCTCCACTTATTATAAAAATATCCTTCATATGACATGGCCCGACAGAAATAGTTCTATAAATACCATGAACAGATAACAAAGATCATTTGAAGTACATAAAAGCCTACATAGAGATTTTAACAGCTGCTGCTACAGATCCAATTGGAACCGATCGAATGTCTGCACCTGAAGCTGGGAATGTGAACTGAGAGTCGAGCAGTAAAGACAACTGGACCCCCCCGTCTCCTCAAACACTGGTTTTACAGTTATGAATAGTGATGACCCAGCATAAGAAATGAAAAAATACAATAAAAACACATGTGACATGATATTAATGTTGTCCATATCATCCCTGGAACCAATGCAAATCGACTTTTGGATTGCCAGAAATCTTTATTAAAAATGAAGAAGGAACAAATGGTGAAACACAACCAGGAGTTTAATTGAATAAAAATCATATGGATATAGTCCTGGAAAAAGCCAATGACTTTGCGACATCAAAACTTTTACTCCGGAAGACTATAAACACCTTCAAAGTGCCAATATAACATTCCCAGTCTCAGTAGGGGGGATTCTTCAAAGGCATGTCAACTATGTGCAGTTGTTGGGGCTTCTGAAGCTGCATCGCTAAATAGCCTAAATAAAAGCTTGTATGAATAAAAGACAACTCATCACAGCATAAACGCCACTTATCCCAGGAAATTAGAAAGGGAAACATGAGGAAATTCTTACCTCTACCCCTTGAGGTACTTCGGCCTCTTGGTGCCCCCACTATCGGACCGCCCCCTCGTCCCATCAGCCGAAGTACAGCTGCACTGTTTACAGACATGGAAAAATTTCTCTGCAAACACAGACGAGGGAGGGGAGCACGGGGGACAAAACACAAGCGGTTAGCTCTCCTCTTTGCACCTGTCCTGTATTTTGGTACCAGTGTTGCCAAAAGTACTTTATAGTACAATAAAGGAGCCAACTGTCATGAGGGCAACGTGACATTTATTTTAACTAAATGAATAGTTCAAAGTCAAACGGAAGAGTTTCTGATGCCATGATTTTTCTCTAAGATAAAATACCTGATACAAGTACTCTTACCTGTTCTTCCTCTGTAAAAGACACGAGTGCCAGAGGTGGCAAGGGCTCCTCTTGCAATATGGGCAGGAACTCCTTATCGTGTAGGTCTATAGGGATCTAAACAATCATAGTTAAGATGCATGAGGGTTTGAAAGAAAATGTAAGACGTCATTTTGATCTCAGCGGGGACACAATTTGTATTTCAGTCAGGTTTCATGCATCAACAGCGAAGATTAGGACATTAGGGGCGTCAAACCTTGTTATCCTTTACATAAAGTGCTAGCATTTCTTCTCTCCCGTAGCGATAGTCTGCAAGTTTATACTTTGGCAATGCGGGCGAGAGGGGCGGAGAGGCAATCCCGCAGCCACCTCCTCCACCAACACCACCGCCGCCTCCGCTGCCACCACCACCTCCAGACAAGGCACGAAGCCTGGAGAGAGAGAGAGAGAGAGAGAAAGAGGGGGGAATCATGGTGAACAGAGAAGGGTCAGAGGAAGGGAACACAACAGATAAGCCGAGGTGGCACTTGACATGTCTGGACATGTGTAGGAAAGCCGCACTTGGTCCCACCACAAAACCAGTTTGGCTACCTACAAATCCCTTCGGTCAGACAAATCGTAAATTTCACGCCAGTTCATTTACCATTCCGGTCCAAAGTTAAGTGTCTGAGTCTCGTCCATAATTCCTTGAAGTTCTGCAAATATGAAAGAGGAGAAAAAAAAAGGTACTGGTCAGTAAATACTGCTATGGGATATTCTACAGCTTAACAACACACCGTGTTGTATTTGCTGGAACATCAGCAAACCGCAGTCTTTCTCCACGGGTCGAGAGCTTTGATCGTCAATGACTAGACCTTCAAACTTTGATAACTAGTGAAATGCAGTTATCACAAGCACATTTGCTCAATGGAAACATAATAACCATACCAAAATCGTTCAAGCTTTTAGTAGAAGTTAAGGTTTAATTTAAACAAGTCATTCATCAGAAATATGAATCTCTCTGAAAGTATTTAAGGTTTCATCACCTGCTTTAATGTGTTACAACTCCCCAGGATATACAGCCCATCCACTAGCACACAAGCAGTGTTCAATTTCACTCTGCTGAAGCTATTTTAGGCAGTCACCCAGTCTGCAAAGAGTGTAGACCACGCACACCTGTAATTGTCGATGGTGGTTGCGTTCACTTTATATACAAAAATAAAAAGTGTCCCTTGCACTTGAGCCTGAATGCAAAGTCGTGTGCCATTGAGGGGCTCAAATATGAGGCACAAACGCCAACAGCGGACAGAGAGCACCGATGACCATATGGAAGCCACGATAAGCCACGTGTAAGTTGTTGTACTTACAGCAGCAAAATCAGCCACTTACGCAAATGCTGCTTACGTCTTTTTTTCACCACGCTTCGTACGTGTCAACATACATTTAACATAAATAACGTTATGTGGTTGAAATGATTTGAGAGGCGAAGCTCACCGACTCTCAAACGTCCAGTTAAAAACAACTTTTATTCATACGGCTCCATCGGGCAATTCATTAATTTAAAGGGCAACCGCTGAATTCAGCTGGAATATAATGAATGACCACGATGTTCTTGCATAACGTTAGTTGTCGCGATTGTTGATTCCACCGTGTAACATTAATGCTAAGCGAATAGCAAAGCTATGACCAGCGGAGAGTCACTCCGACCCACTCCGGTGTTGTAGATTGTGACAGAAACAACAGATGGTCAAGTCACTGATTAATGTCAAGTTAATGTGAAAAGCTCGCAAGGGTGATCAATCGGAAAGGTTTAACGTTAGTGGAAATCAACCGTTAGGTTAACGATACCAACATGACGTTAGCTTGCAACGTGAGCTAACACGTCAAATAAATGGCCAACAAGGATAATCAAAGTTAAGCGAACGTCAAAACACGTGACACTAGTAACTGACACAAACCAATACATTTCTAGACGGAGGTCACAATATTATAACACGTGTTATACAAGGTGTGATGAGAGTTGTAGTGGAAGTGCCGCTTGCTACATGCTGGTGCCACACCAGTGTATTTATGCTAGCGGGTTAGCTAGTTAGTTGGCTGACTGACGTTAGCTACCTAGCACTGTTATAACCCATCGTTACTAATGTATGCATGTCATACGCAAATATCCACATCTGTTGCCGCTGCATTCGGCTAGTAAAGGAGAGCACCCATTGACATAACTTATATGAATTGTAAAAGAAACGCAACACTGCTCGGACACATGAGTTAATCCCTATGCTCAACACTTGTAGCTAGCACATGCTAACAGGTTGGCTAGCTAGCTACACGCGGCCTTCGAACAGACTGGATCCACAACAACATTTCCTTGACGAAACGTCCGGCCCTTTACACGGCCCGGAGAGGCACACCGAACCACTCGAGCCCGGTGCTTTAGGGCCAAGTAAACATGGTCGTTAAAGAAGAGTCCCAAGAACACCGGCTCGTCAGAATATCACTCTCTGACATGGCGCTTTACTTAAATGTAAGCATTTTCTTTGCTAGTGTATTAAACTTTGGCTGTCTTACCTCGGCTTGTTCTGACAGCACAAGGTTTGTATGCGAGTTGTGTGGCTCTCTCTCTCTTTCTCTCTCTCTCTCTCGCTCTCTCTCTTCGTTTTCCACAAGATGGCTGAGTTTGGGTCACATGACCATTGGAACAACCCGTATGCTGTGGACAGATTTGCTGACTGCTGCGTAATGTCAGACGGCGAATATTACCACTGAAGTTGTAATTAGTATCTATCATTGTTATATGCGCCGAAATGGAGTACAACAGGTTTTAATTTAGCAATAAATGCAGGATTAAATACACATATGTAAAATATATAAAGAGAAATACATTAACTTCATCTTTTTTTTTAAACCACGTTTTTGTGTGGTTACTTAATGTTATGTCATCGCTTTACATTACATTACATTACATTACATGTCATTTAGCTGACGCTTTTATCCAAAGCGACGTACAATAAGTGCATTCAACCATAGGGTACAAACTCAGGAGAACAAGAAACAAGAAAGTGCAATTTCCTCAAATAAGCTTTAGTTCGTGTTGTTATTTATTTTGTCATTGTGTTTATTCCCCATGTAAAATGACTTTGAATGAATAGAAATACGTGTATATACGGATGTATTATTATTATGAATAAATATCTTGAATTTATTTATAAATTTTCTTTCACTTAAAGTCATTACGAATGTATTTCTGTGTCTGTTTGATAGTGAGGTAAAAGATCTAAACTTTTTTTTCCCTACACAGCCAGATGTGCATCATCTGCTGATGCGTGTTTGTAACTTTTATTGGTCGTAGACTCGGACGCAGATCGACCATACAGGACAAATCAATATTATGGATTAATTCGGGTAACTTAGATTGCGACATTTTGCAAAAACACGCAACAATCGTTTTGCAAACATTTTAACATCAACTACGTTTTTCTAATAAAAATAACAGTCATTTTCATTTTTTTTTTTTAATCCAAATACGAACCAAGCTGTAATGTCACCTGACTATTTGTCGAAAATCGGTTGCAAAGTGGTTTAAATAGAATAGTATTGAAATTAAAAGATAATTTCTTTGATCATTTGTTGAATTTAGAAACCAGCCACCGAACCCAGCGTGGCTCGTTGGTCTAGGGGTATGATTCTCGCTTAGGGTGCGAGAGGTCCCGGGTTCAAATCCCGGACGAGCCCAATGAATTTTGTTGCTGCTTTCAGGAATGTTTCCTTCGTATTTCTTGTTCTCTTCTGCAATAGTAGGTAGTGTGGTGAATATTAAGTGAATTTCCTTAGTTCAGTAGTTTAGTTTGAAAATAAAATCTAACAATTTCATTAAAATCCATTTAATTCATTACATGCTTATTGAAGCACGTAATATTCTATTTAATTGAGCGTGTTCCTGCATTTATTTCAGCATTGATTGATATTTGTATTTGTTTTATTTCCTTCAACCCATGAAGGAGTAAAATAAATGACCCCGACGTGATTTGAACACGCAACCTTCTGATCTGGAGTCAGACGCGCTACCGTTGCGCCACGAGGTCATTGCGCTCCAATTTGCTGGAAGTAAAAAGAAATATTATTTTCACTGACATTGGAAGCTGTGATTTACTTCTGTGTTGGGGGGAACGTATGAACATCGGCCGGTTAGCTCAGTTGGTTAGAGCGTGGTGCTAATAACGCCAAGGTCGCGGGTTCGATACCCGTACTGGCCAAGTGTTTTTATATTTCCGTCCTTTAACAACATTGATCAAGTCATGTTTCACGGTAGTGTAACGCATATGGTCCCCACAATATTTGTGTAACTCAATATGTTTCTTTCTAAATGTGAGGTCTATGTTATGTTTCTAATGAATAAATACTAAATAATTATACAAATTGGGACATACAAATACAAAAAAAGAATATAATTAATACAATAAATGCTGAAATACATGTATGAAATAAAGCGAAATAAAAAGTGCTACATCATTTCAGCATTTTTAAGACAAAGTGTTGTGCATCACACGAGGATGCTGGTCTCTAAAATACAACCATTTTTATGCATTTATTTGTTTATCCCTTTAGTCATATACATTCGGTGATTCAGTGTGTGGGGGCAGGACAGTTTAGCACCGCTACTTCTCGTCTGGTACTCCTGAAGATTTCTACGGTAAATTATGAATGTGATGCATACTGAGCGTGTTGCGTTGGTGGTATAGTGGTGAGCATAGCTGCCTTCCAAGCAGTTGACCCGGGTTCGATTCCCGGCCAACGCAGGGTTTTTGTCGAGCGTACCACGTTATCAAAAGGATTGGAACATTTTGTAACTGAAAGGTAGTTGACAACCAGTCTATGAAAAATCAGCTGCATCCTTTATGCAGCAAGGTTTGAACATTTACTGCCAACAACGTAAACATAAACCGTTCTGTTGTATAGGATCAATCAAAAGATTTATCATAAATGAAAGAAATGGAATGTAACACATGCTGTGTTTCTTTGCAAAGGATGTAGCTACTGTAAACCAATTTTTCTCTCTCAACTCATTGACGACCTGAAAGGATTTAGGGAAAAACACTTAAAACCAGAGGCTTAATTCATCTGTTAGAAGTTTTTTGTTGGGGTGATCATAGGGGAAACACTCATTTATTCAATGTTCATATTTTGTATAAAAGCATAAAGTCAAAAATGTCATTTAAAAATACCTGTATTAAAAATGTTTCATTCGTATCGGTTATGACAACAATATATATAGATATAACATTTATAGCATATACAACAATAACATTTTTTTTCTTTTGACAAACTACAGACCCTAGGACCTTCAGAGTGCACAATAAGTGCATCAGAGAGATGAGATACATCTGTGTCACTCATTACTTAACATTTGTGGTTATTGTCAGGGATGTGGGTGGAGGTAGGACTCAGACGCAGAGTTCAAAACAAAAGGGACTTTAATTGTCAAAAAGGTTAAAGCAAAAGGCCAAGGGGCAAAAACTCACAGGAACCAGGGGAAAAACGGGAGACAGAAACTACGAACGTCCGCGACGAAAGACAAGGACATGCGTGGCAAAAGACAATGACGCGACCAGTGACAACAGACACACATGGTTTAAATACACTAGGGAGGTGCAGGTGATTGGACACCGGTGGAAACTATTAGACGATCACAGGGGATGACAGGACAAGGCAGGAAGTGAAGTTACCCGGGGACACGAGTGGCAGAAAACTACAAAATATAACATGAAGTGAATCACACCGTGACAGTTATTGCCTCACATGTAATGAGCGTGCTCAACATCGACTGAGCTCATGATTTAGTGAGTTCATTAAGGGAACAGTAGAGATGGTGTGCCATTTTATAACACGACTGCAAGGTTTGTCATCATGTAATGCTCATCTCATCACATTGTGTTCCCTTCTCGAGAACAACATCACTGATTTCTTTTTAGTTTCACAGAAATTCTCTGAACTCCAATTTTGCTTTGAGATGATAATGTGTTCCCTAGCTGCAGCTAGCACACAGCGAGCATAATGACTCCAATCACAGGAGCACTTCTGAGCAACATTTCACCAACACCATGCCTTCTGCTGAGGTCCACTAAAGATTATACCATTTATCTATAGAAATAATGACTGAAAAAACAGGATTTACTCTTCAAACATTTCTTAAATCTTTTCTATTTTCTTTTGAAATGCTGGATAGTTTTATCTGGAAAAAACCCTTCAAGTGTTGACACATAAAGATACAACCTTTGACAACGTGTCGCCTAAAGGATCACGGGCGGATCACACACACAACATCACCAGCATTGATTGATAACAGATGCAGCAGATGTGCAGAGTTATGATAGACTGACTGAAATGTGTTTCTTTTCCCCCCGAATAAGTTTGTTTGTTATCCTGTTCACCAGTGTTAATCCTGCTTACCCTCTTTTCCCTCTGTTGCCATGGATATGGTATTCCTATGGCAACTGCAGGCCTTTGTGGATGGCCTCGGGCTCCCACTGTAGAGGACTCTCTGGACCTTTCATTACGCATTCCCTTCAGACAAATCACACGAGCAGCACATACTCTGCGTCTCTAAGCGTCGCCCTCCTTCTTCCTCCCTCCATCCCCCCTCTTCTCTCTCCGTACCGCTCTGCCCTCGTATTAAGCCCTCGATGGCGTGCACATGCTCCTGACAGCCTCGCTGCTGTTTGTCCCTTATCGCGTTCGTGTCTACCAAATTACGCTCGAGAACTTCATTGCGCTGGTCGGAGGAGGAGGGCCGCGATCAGATTTGAGGCACACGTATCGCTGTCGTAAGAGCACGTGTGCCCGAACGGAAACCAGAGCTCCGTCTTTAAAGATGCATGAGATGTCTGTGGCGAATACGGATGGAGCCTCTGCCCGAGGAGGAGAGGACAGGCTGGTGCAGGTGGCAGTGAAGGCCTGAAGCGGAGCATCACGACTGCTCCCTGTGCGTGTGTGTGTGTGTGTCTGTGTGAGGAGCAGGTGGGGGGCCTCCACCTGCTGAATGAACCCCGTCAGCATTGGAGAGTACCACGGGCTACGGGTGGGATCTGCCTTGCTCAGCATTGTGGCGGGCTGCATCATCATTGGGGTGTCCAGGGAGTGTGACGCTGACGCGGTGGGGGGGATCTTCCTGGGAGCGGGAGGCCTCGGTGAGTGTGAGGGACCTTTTGGTCGAGGTATTTTGTCATCGGTAAGTGATTTCGGTTGTCATTTTTGCTTTGAGCCTCTAAACACACATGAACCATTCGCTTCCAAATGGTGATGGAGGATTTCTTAGTATAAGCTGCTTAAAAAAATACCTTATTTCATTATGATGGTACCTTATGACTTCTCTCTCTAACAGGTGAGTAGCTTTTACATAAACATCGTTTGAACCTTTAAAGAGGCCTCTATGGAAAATGTTACATACTTCTGTTTTCAGTCTCAAAATAATCGTCACCAGCGGCCGGGTGGATTTTTAGAGGTTAGGTTAACTCTCTATGTAGGAAAACATGCTTTTTATCAATATGTATATAAAAGTAATACATAATTTCCCATGCATAATTGTTAAAAAAGCATTTCCTTACTTGTTGTAATACTATTATGTCACCTTCAACGAATATGCAAGTTTAGGTTGTGTCAAAAAGAAAGTAAAACATGATCCTTATCTCTAATTATACATAGTGTAATCTGTGGAATTCCATCAATGAGGAAGTGAAACATATATCGTCTTTTGAAAGTATTTTGGGGTTTGAGAAGCAAACCAAGCATTGAAATGTTCACGCTATTAGCCAAAGTTGCTATCCAACCATTTAATTTAATTTCCAATATGGTGAAAGTTCTTTGGCCTGTGACATTTTGACTCTCCCCCTGTTGAAAAAGACACCGTGTGATCACTTGATACAACAGTGTAACTGGAGGAGCGAGAGCGGCAAAGAGCAAAGGACGGGACTTTCGATCCCAGTACGACAACATCTGCATGCATAGTTAATGGTAAATGTATTCTCACCGTCGATCCGATCAGCCTTCAATAATTCATCTGGGCTTTAATGAGCGCAAAAGACTTCGTCAAATCCAAACTGTGCACAGCAGCTCGACGGAGACTTTCACGCTGGCAGCACTTGTGCAGCTTTGAAGCATCTAATTATGTGTTTTGGGCCTGATGCCCCTTGATGCCTCCTCCGACACATAGGCTGACTAATGAGTGTGAACAGTGTTCTCGACAGATTCTTTTCACTCCTTCTGCACTTTCATGACATTTTAAGCACACGAATGCTGGCTGCAGATTTGAATGGTGTAGGTTAAGGGTTCAGTGTCCACTCTCATAAGGGACGTCAACACGTGTGGAGTTGGAGCGGAGAGCCACTAAGAAGCACACGGGCCCCCTGGTTCAGATGAAACATCCCTCGCTGTTTCTGGTCCATTAAGAATAATCTGAAGGCCGTTTCATCAAGGACTCTCATTGTTATGGTGATATGAAGAGATGTTTTACCCTCTGCCGTGACTCGCGTGCAATTCATCACGTATCTTTTTATACTGACAGTTTCTTCTTGCCAAGTGGTGCACAATATTTTGCCTCACTGTGGTCCCAAAATGAATGTGATTGATGCTCATTCAAATGAACCCTAGATTGGGACCACTTTTCACAATAACATGTCAAATGAATCTCTCTAGTTACGGTCTCTGCGTTGCAGGCCTGCTCATATCGATCTACCCCTTCGTAAAAGCCTGGCTGAACATCAACCAAATTCTTCCATCCTTTGGTACGTTGTTTGATTTAAACGTTTAATCCAAACCCAATTTTTTTAACCCATTTAAAGCAACATATGATTTTGGTCTCTTAACAACCCAGGAAACTTCAGAGTGCACCCAACACCAGCCAATCCCGCTCCCGATCAGCCCGGAGAGACGCTAAGAAGAGAAGGTGAGTGAGTGTGGAGCTGCCCGACGCTCCAAAAGGCGGGCGAGCGCGTGCGCGTAGCCTCCAAGCCATGTACAGTTCAGTTTGACGCTTGCTGTTTGTGTCCTGCGTCTAATCGAAGCCTGCCTGCATTCTGCAGCGCTCACAGTGAACACCAGTGCGGAAGGTGTTGGGTGTATGTGGTTATTGCAGAGCATCAATCATCTCACTCATGTGGCGCAGTAGCAAAATAAAAAAAGAGAGAGAGAGAGAGAGAGAAAGCAACATGTTTTCTCCTTTCATAACCAATTATTTTATTTACTAAGATGGAAAACATTATTCGTCTGGGGAACGATGGGAAGGAATTTACTGTTGAGAGAATGTTCATTCATTCACAATCATTAAACACAAGAACATGCAGAAGGTGAGGCTTGAGAAGAAGACCTAATGGTTTGATTATTCAAAGTGGGTGATATGTGATCTTCCTGCAGGTCATCTGTAAGAGATTTCAGAGATTCTAGAGATCTGAGGACCATCTAGAGTAACTCTCCATGAAGTAATTTTTCATCACACTGGCTTTATGTATGAAAAGATAAATATATTATTGTTGGGGATAGTCATATAAACAATCCAGCAATATCTCTTGGATTAATTACCCGAAATTCCTTTAGAGAACGTAGCAAAAAACATGTACTGTTACTTGGGGAGAAATCGTTAAACCCAAATGCTTCTGTTAAATATTAACATATATATATATATAATATATCTACATGTTTTCTAGATAATTGTGATAATACAAGACCCAAGTATATGTGTGTGTGTGTGTGTGTGTTCTCTCACCTGCCTCCCTTCACAACAGCTCTGACACATCTGCAGACAGAAACATGTTCATCTGACAGTTGCAGCTTGTTGATCTCCTCCTGTGGAGCCTCTGGGGTCTCTTGTAAATGAAAGAGTTCGGTCTAGACATGCTCCATGTGAAAAGTGTTGCGTATGAATAAGATGGACTCTGGTGCTTTCGGCAGGGACGCAGAGTCAGCTGAATGTGGAGCGTTCCAAGAGTCGAATGGGAACCTTTGTGGAGGGCGGACCAGTGGCTGAGATCCACCCGGATGAGGGGTACGTGGTCGACGCTGTACATGATGCTATACTTATGCATACATGCTGTACATGATGCTATACTCATGCATACATGCATACATGAGGCTATACTTATGCATACATGCTGTACATGATGCTATACTTATGCATACATGCTGTACATGATGCTATACTTATGCATACATGCTGTACATGATGCTATACTCATGCATACATGCTGTACATGATGCTATACTCATGCATACATGCATACATGAGGCTATACTTATGCATACATGCTGTACATGATGCTATACTTATGCATACATGCTGTACATGATGCTATACTCATGCATACATGTTGTACATGATGCTATACTCATGCATACATGCTGTACATGAGGCTATACTCATGCATACATGCTGTACATGATGCTATACTCATGCATACATGTTGTACATGATGCTATACTCATGCATACATGCTGTACATGATGCTATACGTATGCATACATGCTGTACATGATGCTATACTTATGCATACATGCTGTACATGATGCTATACGTATGCATACATGCTGTACATGATGCTATACTCATGCATACATGCTGTACATGATGCTATACTCATGCATACATGCTGTACATGATGCTATACTCATGCATACATGCTGTACATGAGGCTATACTCATGCATACATGCTGTACATGATGCTATACTTATGCATACATGCTGTACATGAGGCTATACTCATGCATACATGCTGTACATGATGCTATACTCATGCATACATGCTGTACATGATGCTATACTCATGCATACATGCTGTACATGATGCTATACTTATGCAGACATGCTGTACATGATGCTATACTCATGCATACATGCTGTACATGATGCTATACTCATGCATACATGCTGTACATGATGCTATACTTATGCAGACATGCTGTACATGAGGCTATACTCATGCATACATGCTGTACATGATGCTATACTCATGCATACATGCTGTACATGATGCTATACTCATGCATACATGCTGTACATGGACGCCAGGAATTTAACGGTTACAAGTCCCCTTAATCACAATCACTTATAGGATGTTCGGATGTACACGTAAACAGTTTTACAAACATTACAAATACTAATTTTTCTTTGATATATTGTTAAATGGAGATAAATACAGTCATGTTTTTTTACAATCCCAATGTTAGTTTTTTTACTGGTTATTTCAGTTTCAGATATAACGATCGAAGAATACTTTTCTATTGTCTACCCTATTTGGTCTGTGACTGTAGCTTACGTGAGTCCTGCTCCGGTGTGTTGCAGGACGTCTTCAGACCTGCCCGACATCTTATCTAGACGGAAACTCAAGCAGTTGCCTCCTGATCAAGACCTGCCATGATGTCATCACACAACCTTCGGAGCAATATTATTTAACTTCCCCGCTAAGTCTTCTTCATTCGGTGGATATCAACGGCGGGACTAAAGCATGATGATTATTTGTAGAATTGAGGCTGAACTTGCTCTTTTGTTGACACAACCTCATTGCATTGTGCTCGTGTCGCCTAATAAACACCTCCAAAAGTTTGAACTGTGATTGTTAAAGGACTATTTCCAAATGTTCTGCAGATGAGTGAAATAAATTAGGCCCGGTAGTCCCACTTGTGTACAGCGTATAAAACCATCTGCAATGTCCTCAGCTGCAAATTAAGAAATGGTAATGGTTGCTATGTGCCAATGGGACTTGCACGAGATTTGGTTTCCCATAGTAATTGTCATGAGCAAAACCAACTGGAACGCATGTGTGCAGACGGACCGACACACAGCTGCATCTCGTTGCATGCGCACACTCCCCTGCAGCCTGGCACTCAGACGTAACACATCGATACTGAGGAACCGCACAGGCCGAATGGCTGCTGCATGGGGAAGGATGCTGTGCTCTGAAAAACACCCGTGGCGTGCTGCGAGGATGAATTATGTCAGCAACCGCGTAGCCAAAGGAGTCTGCAGTGGCTCCGTTGACAGGCAGCGGTCTCCTTCTCTGTGTCTGTGTGAGGTACAACAGCGGAGGGACTCGTAACAAACGTCTAATTGCACATCATCCAGAGAGGGATGGAGTGATTGGCAATTAAAATGTGCCAGAACAAAAAAGCGGAAGGTGCAAACCACCTTAAAACTAGAACTGAGAGGATTTAATAGTTCACCTAAATCCCAACTACAACCTCCATTGTTCTGAATTACCAACAAGGATGTCTCGCCACACATCAATATAAATACGTTTTCGAGGTATCAGTGTCAATGAGACAATTCCGGCAGTCAGGATGCAAACCACAATGCTCCCAGCAAACAAAGTGAAGAGCTAAGAGGCAATATATTAACCTGGGTTGCTGTTAATCCTCCTCCAGCATCATAATTGCCATGTCAGATTTAGCTTTCTTGAAATAATTACAAAGATCAATGATTTATTAATTTACTGAACAGCGGTGAGATTTTTCCCCCTCTTAGCTAAATTAGCCCTTAATTGTTTTTTTAAATAGCATTCAATTGATTTCCTAACCTCCAACTACAACGCATGACTCATCTATAACAAGTGGCGTCCCATCCTCATTTAAGGGTAGAGCTTTAAATTAAAAACCATTTAATTAGACAAACACGCACACACACACACACACACACACACACACACTCCAGGTTGACCACAAACCGAGAAGACAGGGGAGCCGCGTCCAAAGATCGAGAGGAAAGACAGTGAGTTAAATAAATAAATACATAAATAAATATATTTAGATATATGTCCAATATGACGAGCTCACACCCATCACCGAAGAGTGGCCTCGCCACGCCCCCCGCCCCGCCCCCGTTGCAGGATGACCTCCCTGGTGCTGCGTGCGTCTCGGTCCACATCAGGAGCAGCGCGCGGTGTTGCGTCTGCGTGCCAAACCCAGGAGAAATGCCATGTTTCCCGCCTAGGAAAGCCTCCCCTTCTCTCCCGTCTTCTCCTCGCGGAATTTTCCCCAGCGGGTCGCGCCGCGCTGCGCCGCCGTTTCCGTGGACAGACACCGATTTGAAAGGTTGGCATGAGTTGTTGCCCCCCCGGCAGGATGAAATCCCCCCGATCGGTGTTTGCGCGTCCTTCCAAGCTCTCGGTAATTACCCCCGGTGATTAGACATGGGGATCTCGGTGGAAATCTGCTCGTTTTAACAATGGAAACATCTGCATCGACACACGGGGTAAGATGTTTTTTCGACGGGTTAATTACACAGGAATGTAAAAAAAAAAAGAGACAGTGCTGTAAGCTTCCATTTAATTGTGTTGCACAAGCCGCTCATAATTAAACGTACTGTTTGTAATGCATTGGTGATCACAGTGTTACATATACACACATTTACTAAAATGATTTCCTTTCCCCACACCCCCTTTTCTTTGCATGCTCTTGAATGGATGCTGGTTAATAAACGGGCTGATTGGATTGCAACTAAACACCAACATGCCGCTCACACTTTGGCCTTCTCTCCAAAGGAAGCAGCCACAGTGTCATTGCACACATTTTACCCCACATGCCTGTTCAAGAGTAGCAATTATCAACAAACGTGTTTAATTATCAAGCAGCACTGTTACTTTTCTGACGGTGGAGTCACAGGGTGCACGCGTCGCGTTAATACTGTGTGGTAGATGCTTCAATTCCCCACTAATGGTTTCACCAAATTATATTCACACTTCTTTATTCTCCACACAATGTGCTCTGTGCACATGGAACTTTAGCAAAATAAGCAAGATCATCTTGAAAACATTGTCCGGTTGATTTAAATGTATTCCGCTAACATGTGAGACAGATATAAACCACAGGGGTCAAACTGGAGGCCGGGGGGCCGAATCCGGCCCGTCGGGTGGGTCCAGTGCGGCCCGGCGGATGAGTTTGCTGTCGTGAGAATTACAGAAAGACATACGTTGCATTTCTATGAAAGTAGCTGCTATTCCTGAAAATGTCCACTGGGGGTCGCACTCTGAGTGAGCGCAGGTCCTTCACCCACGCAACGCCGACATCCCTTCCATTGAAAAACAACAAAATCCTGTGAGGTCACCGCGCATGCACGACCGCTTCTGACAGGCTGCTTCGTTTTTTTTTTTATAACATCGATTCGTTTTGCGCTCCTGATACGCAGCGCTGTTGTTCCGCTTGGTTTACGGCTACTCCTTGTAAATTATTATTATTATTCGGGCAAACAAACTGCCGACCTATCAACTGGGCCAAACCCCCCCCTATGATTTGTAATGGTCTGGCCCACTAGAGATCAAAGTAGGCATATCGGGCCCAAACCTAGTTAGTTTGATACCCCTGATATAAACCGCAAGAGCCAACGTTAACCCTCACCGGCATCGTGGCCGGTGTGTTTAGTTATTGGCTGATCAGATTTTATCTGTGATTTATCGGGTGTAGCTGAACTCATTACTCAGAGTCTCTGGGAGTATCCACAATTTGTCATATATATATATATATATATATATATATGTCGGATATTTGAACGCAGAGTGTCTTCCACTGTGTGTAACAACAAAAAGATCCTCTAACATCTGTCACGTTGTCACATTTGCAGATGTTGGCGGGCTGTGAATGCATTTAAACGGCGCCATGGGGAAGAGTCTGGACTGAAACACGGGGAGATTCGATAACGCCGCGGAAGAGAGAGGAGAAAACATGGTCATCACTGATAGAAACGCTGGCACCCCTGTACCTAAAAAGGAGCCCCAGAAGAAGACGAGGAGGAAGTCCCGCCCTCACGGCCTTCCTTCTCCGGCGCTGTGCTGCGCCTGCGGCCTGTGCATCATGCTGGCTGGACTCAACATCACCCTGGTGGGAGCGTTCGCCTTCAGCACGCTGGTGCCTTCCGCCAATCCCCCCATCATCATCGGGCCGATCCTCCTGCTGGTGGCCTTCTCCTTTTTCGGGGCGTGCTGCGTGTGCAGCCGCCTCCCCCCTCCCAGCAGCTCCCGCGGGTCCAAGTCGGGCGGCAGGGGCGCGGGGCTGATGGGACACGGCGGGCTGGCTGGCGGGGCGGCGTTCGAAATAGAGACCAGCGAGCACACGCTGCAGGATACCACGGCGGTGCAGCTCAGCCCCACGTCGTCCGCCGGGTCGTCGCGGGCGTCCAGCCCGGAGAAGGAGGCGCCCGACGCGGCGCCACCCGGGCGCTGCAAGCTCTTCACCATGGAGGCCAATGGCCCTCCTTCTGCCGCCGCCACCGCGGTCTACTCAGCCGCCGCGGGAGCAGGAGGGGAGGTGAGGCTCAACCTGCCACGCGAGGAAGTGGTCGCCTAGCGAAGCGGAAGCTCCGCGGAGGCTGCAGCTGCCAGTGTAAATATCCATCAGGGCCGATGGCTGGCTGGATGTTACCGTGTCCTTTAGTTCAGTGCCACATTTCCGGTTGTGTTCAGGATGCCGCTGGTGTTCTTGCTGTGCAGCCAACGGGTAATTAGCATGCAGAGGTAACGAAACCTCCGAGTGTTTGTGGATCATACGTTTTGGAGGTTCCATGCTCTAGTGTTGCTGTCCCCCTCGCCCCCCATACGTTGTATTTGGTTGTTTGTTTTTTTTAACATGGGGCATTACGACTGATTTCTGAACAACATTTATCTAAATGTTACGCACCCAGCAGACGTGATATCAGAAGTCAAAAGGCTCCCAAAGCACTATTCTCTCACCGGAGCTTCAATTCTCTGAAGTTGTAGTTCTTTCCACGAGGAAGAATACACACTTCTCGTCTACAGCTGGCACATTTCAGAACGAGTATAATTACATTTTACAGCGTACAACGTTGGATTGGCAACATAAAAATCGCGGCGCCAACATCAACCCGTCATCGCTTTCTTTTACCGACTTCACAATCCGGTTTTATTGAAGGTCACAACCATCAGTTTTAACAGTAATTCATTGACAATGCAATGCAGTCATGGTCGGGGTCCAAGCCTCTCAAACAATTGTGCCATAATGAGGATTTTGTCATCGTGAACTTCAACTCACTGTGTGAATTTCACATAACTGAATTCTTACTCTGAACGTCCGATATGACAAACCTAGAAGTTAACACGATTGAGGCGAAGGAATCCGACAGAGCCTGGACCTTCAGATCGTGTTCCCCACCACTGTGAAGTCGCCCTATCAGCTATGAACAAAAGAGACATTCCCTGATTTCCTTTGAAAGGAAAGTTGCCTTACTGAACTATCAGGATTAATCTCACGAGGGCTACAACAAAAGTGCACAATAGCATTTCTCCTCAGAGAAAGCTCTTTGTGTTCTTATTCCATATTAGTAGGAAAGCCTCAACGCGTTTTTCGTTTATTTACGGGCACAACAAGTGCACGCGAACAGCGTAAATATTCCATCCGCGCAGAAAATGCATCCGGAGCAGCAGAATGTGTGAGCAGGTGCACACAGACACAGTGAACGACAGCGCCCACCTTCCCCAAAGCACCACTTTCTTAGTTTTGCATGTGCAGAGAAAGTGACTCGTGGAAATGCACAACGCCCCGTCGTGAACTATTGGTGTTATCTGTGTCATTTGTGTAGCACACATTTTTGGGAAAAAGTATGGATCGAATATTTTTGTGAAGATTATCGTTTCTTTATTTAAAGTAACGATCCAAATATGAATCCTTCAAAAGATGTGAATAAAAAGGCTCTTTCATTCCAACGCAGGGTTGCTGGTTGTGTGTGCGTGGCACAACGCTGTGTTCCTGCTACGTTGCATTTTGTGTCATAAAAGTAAAATGAATAAAAATGACCCAACTGGATTTTTTTTTTCATGTTCGAAAAGCTCTACGTGGTCTTGCAGGATATCCGACGTTCTTTGGGGGGCGTTTAAAGCCTTTAACAGCAGTTTGTGGGAAAACACTCAGAGCAGAACTATACATGAAGAACACCCAGATGTGTCAGAAAGCAGCTGGTGCCTTTATGCTTCGGTTCATCCTTCCATGCCGAGTCCACCTCCTGTTCACCTGCAGCAAGGCTCCTTCCGCTGCCACATCCAGAGATGCAACTAATGACCATTTAAAGCTTTGATTCATCCGACAATCATTCTCTCCAACGATAGACACATACATGACATCCAAAAACCTAAGTAACACAAAACAGAAAAGACACGCAAATCATTATATAAATGACGCATGCAGCAATGTTACAGTAACGCTTTGTCAGAAAGAAAATTTCCTCTTTTAACACGTCACATGAAGATGCCCTCGAGAAAGAAAGTCAACATGAGCTCCATCTGGTCATTACACTAGTGTGTAAGTGTGTTTACACTTTCTATCACTGGAGGGCGCCAGGGCCACGTGCACGAGTTGCATCAAAAGTGGCGGTTGTTTTATCGTCAGTAGATCATAACAAACCTCCGTCCAGGCTGAGAACCAATGTGCACCACCCGAAAACATTGAACACGATGGCGGCACAGATCTGCCGTGGCCTGCGGCATCTTCTCTTTTGATATAAAAACAACTAAAAAAATATTTTCCGCAGAATGCATTTCACATCCTCCGGATTTGATTGACAGTACAAAAGATAAAACGTGTTGATTCATGAAGGCGACCTTTTGTCGATATAGGAATCCAGTTTGCTTTAGTTTTATTAGGTGCAGGATACCAGTCAGAGGTTTGGACACGCTTTCTCAATGAGTTGAACTTTTGACTGGTGCTGTAAAGAAACAACAACATTGTGCACGAGCCGTTTATCAGTTCTGCTGCTGTTGATGCATTTCGACATCCCAGGAAGCAAAAAACGTCACTGGTTTGAGCGCAGAGGCTTTCATACATCTGCTGCGCATCGAACCTGCACCAAAACACTTGTGCCGCTCCAATACACATTCTCGCCCGCCACTTTTAATGTTGCATTGCCCCTGTGAAACACCGGCCTGTTGGCCTGCACTGAAGGCTCGTGAAACTTAGCTGCAGGTTGGCTTGTGGTGGTGCGCAGGTTAATCGCTGGGCTGCAGCCTGAGGAGAATATTCAATGTTTATGCTTGTAGAGCAACGGTCAGGGAGACGGGGTCACGGTGTCCCGCTGCAGTTTACTCGCCACAAAACAGGGGAATAAATGGAAGTCACCATTTGCCCTTTGAACTCCCTTGTGTCCTTAGACTTTTTTTTTAGCAGCGCTTTAATCGGACAAAGCTTGGTGGTTGTTACGTCTCCCTAATAACACTAACAACCTATGAAGAAAGAACTCAGGGACCATGTAGGGCAGTTAAAGAAAATAGATTTATTTATAATACCTGAATCAAAAAGTAAACTACAGAGGAAGGTTTGAAAAAGGGGGAGAGTGAACTGTGCCAAACACAATAAGGACAAAAGAACAGGGCCTAGCTCAACAAACAAAAGGCCTGACTCTCTACAAACTTGTCCAAACGAAATAGAAATACATTGGTGGCAACAACCCATCACCTAGTGAAGTAACAATCATCTCTAGGAGTGTCCAGGGTTCCTCGGCACAACTTCCCCCACCACAGACCTTAAAGGACAAAGTCACACCGAGAGCTGGAGCACAGAGAGAGAGCGTCCTCCATCTCCGGTGGTGAACTAATCCACAGGACCGGCCAATCGTCCGCCTGCAGGACAAAGGGGAGGCGAGAGCGAGAGAGAGACGCACGCATACATACGTCTCTGCACGTAACAGTGGTCCTCATTCTCTGTGAAACTGTCAAAAGACCACTTTCCCGTTGGCCCCTTCACCCCTTTTTGTTTTGGCCAAATTGTGGTTTTACAGTTGCTGAAATGCAGTTATTGCTTCCTATTTTTTGAAAGCTTGTTTGGTGAAATTATGGGTAACGATGAACATTCTCTGCTGCTGCTGTAATTGTTCCATGTTGCATCCATATTGATGAATTGAGCAGCAGCTCGTCTGTGGTTTTAGTCCGAACCAGCTGCTGGAACATCAAATATCAATGTACTGTTTATCTTTCGTGACACATTTTCTGCAGATTGAGGCGTCTGGTCACCAAGTCATCTTTAGGGATGAGTGACAGAGGCGCGTCTGAGATGATACGGCGTCAACAAACGGAAGGTTCTGGTGGATTACGGAGGCGACCTCACCGACACACACACACACCTGAGATCGCAAGCATCCCACCCGCTCTACACCGGGCCCTGACGCACATGTGCCCCTCATGTGGATGTGCAGTCTCAGCTGAGTGAGTCGGCGGAGGAGGGAGGGTGCGATCGTGCTGAAAGGATTAGGGGAAGACGAGCTGCAGAGGATCTATGGGAGCAGACACTGGTTATATAACCCCAACCCAGTTCAGTCCGCTTCCAAGGACGGACTGGGAGGGAGGAGATTTGGGGATTTGCTGAACTAGGGTGAATCCATGTGTCTGAAGTGGTTACGTGCATGCGTTGTTGGGTCAGATGACAATGAGTGTCGTATTGTTATATAAACGCAGTTTGTTTGTCCGATTAAAAGCATTGACCTAAGGAAAAGCTTAATTGATTCTGGTCCCGGGGGGGGAGGGCAGTTGGAGGGCGACATGGAGAGGAAAGCTGCTCCCACATACGGCAGTTTTTGATTGGAACCGACGAGGTCTGTTACTAATCCAGTGGTGCTCTGCATACCAAAGGCCATTGACAATGGGTCCCTTGCCATTCACCCGCAGTAAATGGCAGTTTAGACAAGTGGGCGGTCTGTTGCGTAACCTCGCTTTTCACGGGTCTACATGTGGAGACGCACACGGTGGTGCACGGAGAGAGGATCCCAGTGCAGCTTGGGGAAGATGTCAAACCGCAGGAGAACTTTGCATGTAACGCGTTTACCTCCGGGACACGGCGGGGAAGGTCCCATCAATGACTGTCCCACATTCCATTATCAAAGCCGATCAACGGGGCTTTCAGCTGCTTCGGTGCTGCTCGACTACCCTGCGCGGGGTGGCCAGCTGAAGCAGGTTTCCTTTCCCGGGTTTCTTTGACCTGTTCTCCAAAAAGGTATCATCTATTTGCACGCGGCCCCCTGCTTAACCAAGCAAATCGATAGACTGAAAATAGATGGGTGTCATGCCAATATTTACAGGTGAGTGGTACTGGATAAATAGTCCAACAGCTAGTGAAGACACATCACAGGTGGAATGCAGGGTCAGACAGCATGTGCGGCACAGTGTTTTATTGGATAATTGTTTATTAAGAGAAAATGAGCCCACTGAATGCTCGGGTGTCCTGGGATACTCGCTTTTTGGTAAACAACACGTGGTACCGGTGGATTCCAGCAGAGGCCCCCATTTTTCAATGAAATACACGGACAAAGAACGAATAACACTTCTCTGCGGCAGACTGCTTCAGACCGGTTTTGGTGCCCCACATTTAAGGGAGTTTGTCGCACTCGGAAATGCAACATCAGACTCATCCGTCGGCTCTTTCTTTGCGCTACGGTCCCACTACGGTGCCGGCAAGGGAAGCATCTCTGACTGTTTTAAATGCAGCTGTTGCATAAACTCCCAGGATGTGCTTTTGCCCTAAAGGCAGTCTTTGCTCAAGCAAATAGCTTCTCCTCGTGCCCTTTGTGCCCCCTGTTAGCGCTCTGCCATGTTGAGTCATCACATCGGGAAAAGGATGGAAGGTAGTTGAGTGCACCACTCATTGCATGGAATATTAATGACGTGATCAGTAAGAGGAGATGACGGAGGAATGACCCTTGATTCAATTAAAGGCTTCAGCTCAGGAGGCCCCCGAACCACGTGTTGCGTATCAGGTATTCACGTACTCAAGTCACCTTTTGAATAAATAATGACAGGCTGATCTTTGGAGTACTCACCCCCAGAACACCCTGACCAACTTCCAGTTGGGGGAACATGTCTGATTTGCTGGTGGACGTGGGCCACCTGTGGGGGGGGAAGAGGCCGGTTTCATGGCAGAGGAGCGGTTTGCCATGGCAGCGGCCATCGGCACACACGGCACTGCGGGGGCGGCCGGTCTGTGTCAGCACTCATTACCATCCGCCGCCTAAGTGGACGCCTCTTCCAGGAGTCCCTTAGAAATAGATAAAAGAGAGATGCTTTACACTTTAATGACTTTCCCACAGTGGCCCTCCAAAAGCAAGGGCTCCCCTTAAATCGCCTCTGGAGGAGAGTCCCCACTGCGCAGCAGAAGAGAGGAAATACTGAGTCCACTGTCCACTCCGCAAGACCAGCCAACAGGGGGGGGGAGGGGGATTAATCAGGTCTTTATGTGGCACAGGGCCTGCAGGGGACAGCCTTGGTATTGTCCCCACGGCCCCCTCTTTGATTGTTCCTCTGAATCCAACACGCGGTCACGTTGTAAAAAAAACCCCACACGCCCTCTTCCGCCAGCAAGCCCTGAACCAGCGTCCACTGGAGGTCCAGTCCCAGCACACAGACGGCCCTTTTCCAGGTACTGGTTCTTGTTTAGATCTCTCTCCGCTGTTTAGAAAGTAAACAGCCAGAGCTGTGATTTAAGTGGCCGGGACAGAACACGTGACCTCTGTCTCCTATGAAACAACACTGTTTTTGTCGGAGTCGTCTTTTGACAGAACAAATGATTACGAAAGTGTGACACAGGACACATTTCTACCACATGAAAACAGGGAAGCACTGTCAACAACACATGCCCCAAACAAACAACCCACTTGCCAAATAGGTTTCCTTCGCCAACTTGAATCGCCTCAAACGTTTGATTAAAATGTTTCAAATCTGTAAACAGGTTGAGCCTGCAGACATTTTTTCCGCTGATCTTTATAAAGATGTTTTCTCTAAATCATCAGTTAATCATCAATTGATGGATCGGTGTCTGAAAAGCCTTGC